AAATTGAGTGCATTTCATAATTCCCAACACACCTAATCCCATATAACATAACTTCTTGTGGGAAAATTTGTTTAATTATCTACCTCATTGCTAGCCATGGCACTTTTAAGCATAAGGCCATAATAAAATTCGATTGTTGAGGAGAAGAAACAGTTTACATATACCTGGTTAAGCTAATCTCTTCCTAATTACAGACAAATCAGCCACATCAAAACTAACCATTTGTGGCGGCTGACAGCAACATTCCCAATGCACATCCATCCCTCATACAGTTTAAGATTAGACACTGAGACTTGGCTCTGCCCTGTTTGTGATCAGCTGCGCCCCAGCTAAGTGTTTCCCCACACCCTTATATCCCCACCACTGCGACAGCAGTGTCTCTCTTCGGGACCAAAAGTCAACCTCCCCTCTGGATATACACCATCCAGGCCCCACGCCAGGGGTGACCAGCACGTTTGACGGTGATGCGAGCCCCGACCAGCTGCAGCCCAGAACCACGGAAACATTCCCTTTGCAAGGGAACTCCAGCGGGCATTTGGACTCAAATCCTGCATCTCTGACACTGCTCAAGCTCCCTGTGTCCCTAAGCGCGGAAGCCCCGCCAGCCCCCTGGGGCCGCACCAGCCCCTCGGTCCTTCCCCTCAGCCCTATTTTGGCTTCCTGGGGCCGCTGCCCCTTGTCCCGCCTGCGCCATGTGGGAGCGCGGCCCGCGGGCCCGCTCGGGGCGCTGCCCAGCCGAGCTCCCTCGCCCCGCAAGCGCCGCGCGGCCCAAGCCCGGCCCCGCGCTCCGCCCGCAGCGCCTCCCGCCGCCCCCGCGCTCCGGACCGTGTCGTTGTCGGCGTCCCCCAGGCAGATGGCGTGCGGGAAGAGGCTGCCGGCGAAGTCCAGCGCCACGCACTGCACGTAGCTGACGGAGCGCATCCCGCTGCCCACGGGACCCCGCGCCGGGCCCGCCGCACCCGCAGGCACCGAGGGAGGCGGGAAGCGCAGGCGCGGGAGGGAATCACGGGAGCGCCGGGCGGAGCTCCCGGCAAAGACCTCTTGTTTCCTCTTCCGGAGACGACAGCGAGCTGGGACGCTTCTGTTACTCCAAAAATAGCGCACGGTTATTACAGGAACACCGCCCAGGATGAAGGGTTTATAAACCGAGAGAGACAGATGCGTGTGGTTTACAAAGTCAGTATCGTAATTGTTTATTTTAAGCATTTTTTTTCTATAAGGACATACATAACGAATAGTTTATATCTGAAGTTTACATGCATGACCTCACTGATAAACACTAGTATGCCATCTTCTGCTGGCAACTAGACCCATTTGTAACGACAGCACGGAACATCCTTTCAGCTGCCTGAGTAAAGCATGTTTAGTGTCCTTAGTAGGTTACATTCTTAAACATTTCATAGTTTGTTATGTAGTAACAATGAGGGCAAAGTAGTACTTTCAAGACTGCTCACACTTAACATATCCACCACTGACTCTAGAATTTTTTAGATGTGCTACAGAAATCATCTGACTTTTTGCTTTCAGAAACAAGTAGAACTGTCGTGCCTGTGGGATATTTTTGAAAACTGCTATTGAACAACTTATCATTAGGAGTTGGTGCTATGCTTATTTTAACAGCAACAACAGTTTCTGTCAGAGGCTGTTATTTCCAGTAATAATTACCAACAAATCAAGGTATTTGCTTGCTGGAGAAAAAGTACTCTTGCTTGGCATTCCTGCCCTCTTTCACACTTTTCCATGTCTATTAATCCCTTGTTGTAACTCCAGTCGACACACGCTGTTGTTTCCCACAAGAGGCAATAATGCTTTGGTACAAGTTTTTCCACATACACACGGCTGTTGCTATCAAGTTAGAACTCATGAAAAACACCTGTATTACCTGGCAGCTCTAAGATTTTATTAGGCAAATCAAATCAGCATTTCCTTAAACATGATGATCTACCAAACACTCTATCCTGCCTCTTCTATCCCACTCCCACACCGCTGAAGCGTAGGGCACTGCTACACTGCGTACACTGTGCAGAGCAGTGCAGCTCACAGCTCCCTAAGCCAGACAGCCCAGCAGCAGGTGGTGAATTAATTATCTCGGGCCCAGTACAATGTGTCAAGCAGCTCTTACGATTTTGGTGACAGTCCAGTTCTACAGCTGCAGTGCCCGAGCTTTCCTGGCACTGCTGTGGGGCAGGTACTGGCAACCCCCCAGCCCCAAAAAAACCCATAAGTAAGCACTTATACAGTATTTCTGTCTCAGGAAAGGAGACTGGGAATTCAAACTAAGATTTCCAACATAATTCATGTTAAAACAGAGATACCCTCTGCAATATATACACAATTCCAGCCCATTGCATGCCATGCAAATCTTTCTCACCATAAAAAAAAACCACCAAACACTTTTTTTCATCTGAGAAGAACAGATTATCTACCTTCCTTCTGCAGAGCAAGCAAAAAGTGCCCCTGCAGCTAGAATGGTCTCAAAACAGGACACTGGAGATGCTGAGTTTAACATTACACGACAGGATAAACAGAACAGCTGAGTTTGAGTACTATGTTCCATGCCTGCAGACAAACAAAAAACCCACCCCAGCAAAAAGCCCCCACAAAACCCAAAAGCACACCCAGCCCCAAACAAGACACACAAACTGCAGAAAGAAGCAGAATACCAAGTAATAGCTTTCTTGTGAGATGGGGATAAGCAGACATTAGAATCACTCAGGAGTTTGTAGTTCATTAGGATTTAGAAGTATTTGTAATATGTAAACCATTATCACTTACTTTCTCTTCAAAGCCAGTCACTTTTAGGTATAAATATTGAGGGTTTTTTTCCTCTGGTCCAGTTCCACAACATGGGGAGCAAAGAGGAAGGTAGCAAAATGAACAGATAATAAGCTCTATACATAGGTTACAGACTTGCTTTTTGAAGTTTTCACCAACATATTTTTTCCTCTTGCAAATATATGTGTAAATATTTTATCAAATATTGGGGAAATTTTCTATGGTAATGAACAAACAACATAGAAAAATAATCAAGACACTGTGGATAAAAAAAACAATGAATGACCAAAGGACAGTAAATTCTCTCAATTCTGTGCAAATTCCAATAAAAACCCACGAAAAGTTCAGTTTTCTTGAGTTTAATTGGAGCTTTATTACTTAAGCTGTGACTTCAGTCTTTACCTTCAGCAATTTGCAAAGAGGAGGCATACAAGAAAGGTTACAATATTTAATAGAAGGGACTCCTTACTGAACATGGGGAAAGACGGCAACCCTAGGGCAGAACTGAGAGTGCCAATTTGTTCTGAAGTCTCATGTGAGGACCCCTGGAAAAAGCTGATTACTTGAAAGAAGTCAAGGAAATAAACGTAGAAAGCAGAACCTGGGATTCAACTAAGCTGGAACCAGAAAGAAGCAAACACCAATGACAAAATGGAAACTACCGACCTGTCAGCCTCAGCTCTGTGCCTGGGAAGATCACGAAACAGATCCTCCCAGATGCTATGCTAAGGCACATGGAAAATGGGGGTGATTAAAAACAGCCAGCACAGCTTCACCAAGGACCAGTCCTGCCTGATAAACCTAGTGGCCTTCTGTGGTGGAGTGACTACATCAGTGGACAAAGGAAGGGCTACAGATGCCATTTATCTGGACTTCTGTAAAGCCTTTAACAGGGTCCCCCGCATCATCCCTCTCTCTAAATTGGAGAGATGGATTCAACGAGTGGGACTGCTAGATGGATAAGAAATTGGTTGGATGGTCACATCCAGAGGGTAATAGTCAATGGCTCAGAGTCCCGATGGACATCAGTGACAAGTTGTGTCCCTCAGGGGTCCGTATTGGGACCAGAGTTACTTAATATCTTCATAAATGACATAGATGAAGGGTTTGAGTACATGCTCAGCAAATGTGCAGATGACACTAAGCTGAATGATGCACTTGACACATCTGAAGGATGGGATGCCATCCAGAAGGACCTGGACAAGCTCGGGAAGTGGGCCCATGGGAATCTCACAAGGTTTAACAAGGCCAAGTACAAGTTGCTGCACATGGGTTGAAGCAAGCCCTGATATCAATATAGGCTGGGCATGAACAGATCAAGAGCAGCCCTGCTGAGAAGGACTTGGGAGTGCTGGTGGATGAGAAGCTGGATATGACCCAGCAGTGTGCACTGGCAGCCCAGAAGGCCAATTGTATCCTGGGCTGCATCAAAAGCAGTGTGGGCAGCAGGTCGAGGGAGGTGATTCTGCCCCTCTGCTGTGCTCTGGTGAGACCCCATCCAGAGCACTGCATCCACCTCTGGGGTCCTCAGCAAAGGAAGGACATCAACCTGTTGGAATCAGTCCAGAGGAGGCCATTAATTAGAGGGATGGAGCACCTCTCCTTACGAGAAAAAGCTGAGAGAATTGGGATTGTTCAGCTTGGAAAAGAGAAGGCTTCAGGACGAGCAAATTGTGGCCTGCCAGTACCTGAAGGGAGCCTACAAGAAACATGGAGAGAGACTATTTACAAGGGCAAATAGTGACAACACAAGGGAGAATGGCTTCAAACTGAAAGAGGGTAGGTTTAGATTAGATATTAGGAAGAAATTCTTTACTGTGAGGGTGGTGAGGCACTGGAACAGGTTGCCCAGAGACATTGTGGATGACCCATTCCTGGAAGTGTTCAAGGCCAGGCGGGATGGAGCTCTGAGCAATCTGGTCTAGTGGAAGGTGTCCCTGCCTTTGGCAGGGAGGTTGGAACTAGATGGTCTTTGAGGTCCCTCCCAACTCAAGCCATTCTATGATTCTATGAAAATGCAAATAAACCAAGCAGAGTAAATCCAGACAGAACCCAAACAGTATCAGAGGCTGAATGAATAAATAAAAGTCACTAGGATTAAACCGGATTTATGCTGCCACTCAGCCTCTTGAACAGCCACATAAAGCTGTAACTGACTGTGGCATGGTGGCTTCAGCCTCTGCTCCCTTGAAGCCACTATCCAACCAGGTAGAAAAATAAAGGTCTAATTCACTGGAAATTCTTTCATTTACAAAACTAATGGAATAGGGTTTGTTTTTATGCTTCTGCTTCAACTTCTGATTTATCTTCAACTCCATTCTGCTCATCTTTCATTTCTGCATCTTCAGTGTGGCTGGTCTGAAGAGTAGCAGCTGACTAAATGGGAGAGAAAAAGAAAATACATTATTATAATTACAAAACTGTTAGCACAAACACTGTTTGATTCTCATCACTAGGAAACCCAGTCTCCCCTGCAAGACTGAATTCATATAGTAGGAGCTTCACGAGAAACTAAAAATTTCTTTTCATTTTTCATGCAACTAAGAAACCAGATGCAGTTTAGAAGAGGCTGAGATATAATACTGATATTAGGTGTTTATGATTCATAATGCCTGCACACGCTTGCCATATAACACTTTCTTAGAAAAGTCTTAACTAAAATTCATTTACAAAGCTTCTGCACAGAACTGCTTTTGTCCTGCTTCAATTTCAATGTGATTCATTTTTAGCCATTCCCATAGCCTACCCCCACGCCCTCCAGTCTGTTATGAGGCACACTTGGGCTCAGCATGCAAAGAACTATCTTTGTTGGACAACTTCGTTTCATGAAGAGTGACTTCAACTCAACAACAGTGATTTGGATGTCATCTGTAAGAGCTTAGCTGGAAGAAAGTATGATCTGACAAGGTGGCTGCTCTAAAGCCCTCTCCTTGCTGCATCTTCCAGTCCACATAAAGGCAGGAGGCAGAGAGCCATGTGGCAGGAGTCCAAGGTTAGGTTTTTCAATAGGACATAACCAGCACATCCTAGCCTTGCAATAATTTTCAAACACAGTAAAGGGAGGTAAAAATGTCTTGGTCTTTTTATCTCAAAAACTAGTGCAATGAAACTGCTATTCCACCTGCCAGCCTAGTACCTTGAACCATCTGTTTTATTATGATGTTGGCAGACAAAACCAAGCAAAGTCTTAAGCATGCAATGCTGGGAGAGGTGAATAAGAGGGGGAAAAGAGGCAGAATCCTTTAATGTTACATCAACTTGGCTGCAACAAGAAACCAGTTAAAAGAACATCCAGGCATCAAAGGTCAACCTTTCATCCTTAGAAGCATTCTGTAAACCACACAAGAGCCAAGTCTTCTCTCCACAGAAAATCTGTTAGCTGGCAATCCTGGGCTTAAAATAAGGTGATAAACGTCTTGACCTTTAAAAATCCACACTTTACATATGTGAACTATTTGAATTCGTGAAAGGAACTACTGATGCAAGAGTGGCTGGTGAATTCAACAGACTGTAAGATGTGCAGTGTCAGGAATCTCAGAACTATGGTCCAAGCTACCCTCTTAGCAAGCGGAAGATATTTGGTAAACAAACCAACTTCCTCAGAACTTTGATGTTCTACTACCACCGCTAATGGAGAAACTGTTGGAGCTGGAGTAAAGCAAAATTATAAATGCATTAACAGGAAAACAAGTTTTTCATGCAAGAAAGCGACCTCAATTCTGACCTAGAGAGTAAGCGTCCTTTACAGTTTACAGTTCCAGCAATCCCATTTCATATAAAATCATATCCATTTAAGGTAGGCCAGATGGCTCAGAGACAAAAAAAACAATGCACATTCCCAAGACCAACTTACTTGTTGAGAAGAATTCACCAGGCCAATGGTATTCTGCCTTGTATCAGAAACGGTGTGGCCAGCAGGACCTGAGCAGTGATTGTCCACCTGTACTGGGCACTGCTGAGGCCACACCTCAAGTACTGTGTCCAGTTTTGGGCCCCTCACCTCAAGAAAGACATTCAGGTGCTGAAGCAAGTCCATAGAAGGGCAACAGAGCTGGGGAAGGGTCTGGAACACAAGTCTGATGACAAGCAGCTGAGGGAACTGCAGGTATGTAGCCTGGAGAAAAGGAGGCTCTCTACAACTACCTGAAAGGAGGGTGTAGCAAGGTGTAGGTCAGCCTCTTCTCCCAGGCAACGAGCAACAGGACAAGATGAAATGGCCCCAAATTGTGCCAGGGAAGGCTCAGAGTGGATATCAGGAAAAATTCCTTCACAGAAAGCCCAGGGCAATGCTTGAGTCACCATCCCTGGAGGTATTTAGGTGTAGATGTGACTCTTAGGGACGTGGGTTAGTGGTGGACTTGGCAGTGTTAGGTTGTTGTTTGAGATCTTTCATTTACAGTCAGTAGGATTCCATCCTAAAGGATTTTACGGCTTTAAGCTGATTTAACCCAAGCAGATAGGAAAACTGGAACTAAGTGCTATGTCTTTCTAGTATCCCAAACAGCCTGCAACGCAAAGATTGTGAGACTGCCTTTTGCCAAGAATATTACACTTGCTTCAGCAACCCACTCTTCCTCTCTCAACAGCAGATCTTGCTGTGTCCCACACCTAGAGGAGGAAGCAAGATTCCCAGCAGCTGTGCTAACTGAAAGGAACCTTCACAACAGAGCCTGACAGCTGGCAATTAAATCCTGCCATTTTAAAAGTGAAGATGCCTAACAGTGAAATAATTCTAGTTTAGTTGCTGTATCTTTACCTTCCTGAGATTTCTTCATTAAAGCCTACGAAAACTAAGATACCGTGTAGCTTTACACCACTATATCTAGAAATACAAAATAGTTCCTTCCAAGCTCCAATAAGCAAGGACTGTTGACACCAGGCTGCCTTAGCCAGAAAAAAAAAAAAAGAGATGGTTGTGAAGTGCTTAATGTAGGAAATTGTCAGCTGACAGTCTGAGATGACTGAACTGTCAGGATACACTCATCTGGGGACACCAGGCCTCTGGAAAGACTCAATGACACAGTTAACCACAGGTAATTAACATACCAATATCTAACAATTTTTTATATTCTCCATGCGTATTCTGGAAAGGTGGACACAAAGATCTGAGAAAATAACCTCACAAGATGCAAGCTTCTGCACTCCCCAATGTTACTGAGGCAATTTGAGTATGATGTAAATCCCAGATTTATCTTAGAAGTTACAGGTCTACCTAGTCCTTCCGCACCATCAGATCTAAGGAAAAGAAACAACATTGTCTTAGGATATGTGATTTTCACTAGTAACTTGGAACGTTTCTTACTAGCTGATACAATCTTGTTATAACCTGTATCCACATATAATGGCCAGTCTTTGCGAACGAAGATTTGGGGAAAGGTCTTTTTACCTTTCCAGCCTGCACAAGGGATTTTTTAGGTGAGACACAGCCTGCGCTGAACTGAGCCCACCCTTTAATCCTAAAGTTCATCTGCCGGGGCCAAGCGAGCTTGGACAATGGCAGTGAGGTCCTCAGGACGTAGGTTTGTTTAGAGTGACCTTCTCATAGATGGATGGCCTTACAGGGCTAACGGGCTCCATCTGCCCGGGGGACTGGCTGGGATTCGAACCTGGGTCGCAGAGGTGAGAGTCCTGCATGCTAACCACTAGGCCACCAGGGGTCCCTGTATCCACATACTGCCATTATTAATTGAACTAGTATTTACTGAAGTTCCAGTGAATGCTTATTATGAAAACCAACCATTTGTAGAATAATCAATCCATGACATTTGAAATAGAGACCATTAACCACTTCTTAATGTCTCCATGAGAAGCAAGATGGTGCTCAGCACCATCTGTATGGCAGACATGAGGTCTCACTAGATAGGCCACCCAGGCACCAGAACAGCCTGTTCTTTAGAACAATTGGTTCAAGGAGAAAAGGTGCTTTTTTAACTGGAACATTATCATCTTTGTATCTCATCACTTCAATTGCTTTCTGATTAACACTGGTCTGTTGCAAATTCAGTTGAAATAAGTAAAAGCATTCTGTGCAGTGCTTGGTACCGCTAGCTTCTTGTTCAAACAAGATGGCCTCATAATTTTGACTGCTGGCTATTTTGAGTTCAACCTCTGGTCCCCAAATGAGTCTACTTGAATATTCTCCTGCTATAATTATCTGTTATAAGAAGTAAGCTGAATACCTAAACTGTTCCTTGTCTAACACGACACCACCTCTTGTAGTCTTCTGGAGTAGTGTTACTTACCTTTAAGTCTTTGTCTGCAAGCCTTTGGAACATGTTGGCGTACATCTTTTTCTCCTTCTCATGCTGCTCTCGTATTTTTTGCTGACAAGTTACCAGTTGCACTTTGGCAGCTTTGTTACTTGGATAAAGCTGTATCACTTTCTGGAAATCTCCTCGGGCCAACTCAAAGTCATTGACAGCCAAATGCGCTTCTCCACGCCGGAAGAGGCCTTTTTCATTGTTGCTATCCAGTTCGAGTGCCTGCATTAAAAAACAAAACCAAACCAGATACAAGAGTGATTTTTCTTTTATAAAACCTCAGAATACCAGAGACTGCTAGGAACTGTATCTTCTGATACAGACTCACAAGTCTTGTCAGGGCTTACTAGTATGTGAGTAGAATACAGTATAAGTTAGTACAAAGAGGAATGAATATAGTAGGCTATTTGACAGAAAACCAGCAAGTCTAAGATTTAGTCCTGGCTCTAATCCAGCTCTTTGAAAGATGACTACTTTCACCAAGTGTTTCTAATTTCTAAACACTTGAATATTCTCCATGTAGCAGTGAGTTAGAAAAAGATGTGGACAGTAATTAAAAAAGTAATTGAAAATCTGTTAGGTATTTTTAGTGTATTCAGTACTATCCAAATGCCAGCTGATAAGAAAGGCCCAACACCACATGGCCTGTTGTTTGTCCGATTTCTAAAGCAGAAGATAAACTGCACAAGCAGTCTGACAGTTTAAGAATAAATAAATCCCTACTACCTTGTTGCAGTTTTCCAAAGCTTGTGAGTATTCCTTTAGCTTGAGATGGCACATAGCTAGATTAAGGTGGGCAGCAAGCCTCAAGCTTTTGGCTTTTGATTCCTCCTCATCAGAGAGTCCTGATTCATGCTCCAGCCACGACACAATCTTCTTATACTGTAATGCTGCCCGCTTGTATTTTCCCTCCTGTAAACAAGGCAGTTCAATTATCACACAGCTCATCACAGTAACTCTTACATCCCTCTTGCCCCTTCTGCTTACCTTGAGCAATAGATTTGAAAAAAAAATTTGATCAGAAAATAACTTCTATCATCAAAAACATACTACTTCCGAAAGCCATTCCTGCATAGGATCAGAATATCCTTAGGAATACCTACTGGTTCCCCACTAAATCTAGGGATATATGCCAGCATTGATACCTCACTCGCAACTCCCACCTTGTATTCAACTTTTGATACAAAGAAAAACAAAACGGGGCATTTTTATAATGTGTTACAAAGATAACGGGGAAACTCTTTAGCTGGTTAAATTGCTTGAAACAGCTTTGTCACAAATATTTACCCAAATGAATGTTGTTCATTCACAGCAGTATCCCACAGCAGAAACTTATATACTGTAACCTTGCTACAATTCCATGTATGCCCCAAAGTTATCTGTAGGTACAGCAAACAGCTTTAACAGAGAACTCCCTGCAGAGTTAGTTCTTTGGATAATCCAACTGAGTTTCTTTTTTTCAGACAACTTCCCCTCCAGTTCTCCCTGTAAAATCTCACAGAATACCATGAACACCACTCAGAAATGACAGAAGCTGTAATCATCATTATCAGTTCATGACATGGACTAAGAGATGCTATTATTACTTGGGGACTGTAACTTACCTTGAAGTACTGAGTGCCTCTCTCCTTCACAATGGAGCTTTGTTCCAACTTCTCATCCGTGTTCATTTCCCAAGACTCCTTAGCCTACCCAAAAAGGAATAGTTCAAGTCAACTTCAGCACAACAATACAACTTCTAGGGAAATCAAGTGGCTATGTTGCTTCCCATAGTGAGGTAGAGATCGGTTTGGCTTTGCAGAGCTTTGCACTGCTGCTGGAAACCAGCCTAGAGCATGAGAGATGGCAAAGGACAGGGAACCAATAAGAATAAGGGCCATTTCAGCCAAGAGCTCCAGTGTGTCATCATCTCTGGCAACAGTGGCCTCCTTATTTCAGATCACCATTCAAGGATTCCACTGTCCTTGTTTAAGCTGCACTCGCACTTCTTCCTCCACCTCCAGGATCTCTTTGGGGTTTCATCTCTTGTTCCTACCTTTTCAAAGCTTTTGAGTTTCACTTCATACTGCAGCTCTGCATCTGGAGGGATCTGAAATTTCTCATTCCCAGTGCTTCCAAAACCGTAGCTATAAGATGGGTGTGGAGTGCAGAGGGAGAAACAAACAAAGAAGACAGTTCAGAATTGTCCATCCAGCTGTATTTTCTACATAGGAAGATGAAGACAAAAACCCCAAGCAAATCTGGGATGCCTATACATCATTATTACAAGACATAAAGACTTCAAGAATTCTAGATACAATTCTAAAATTAGCAAGCACAAGGCAGAAGAAAGCAAGAGAAATCTAGTGTTCATTTCATTTAGCTCTTACCAGTTCCTATTATGGTTTTTTTTAGCTTAGGTGAAGGAAAAGCAAGTTATCTCTCCAAAAAAAAAAAAACAAACAAAACAACCAACTTTCAAGTTATATGCATTTTGCTTTATATTCATGGACTGAAACTGAGTGTTTCCTTCAGAGCACCTGAATTTTAGTACTATTCTTAGAAAAGCAAAGACAATGAATACTAAGATGAAGTGAACAGCTGCACACTTAACATACTGTTAATGAACTGATAAACAGGAACTGCCTACAGAAAGGTTCTGTGAAGCAACTCCAGTAAGAAGCTGCATATTAGCAGGAAAACCCTCAAGATCAGATTGCTTTGCTTTTCTGCTCTTATCAGGTTCAGTTCAAGTTTAAAAAACTTAATAAATACTGAAATTAAAATTAACATTTGATGAAAACAATCTGTGCAAATCCACTTCAGATGTGTTCTCACTGTAACGAGAAAATTCTGCTTACGTCTAGGACTAGATATGCACTGTTATACAGTAAGAACTAACAAAGAGGGACCACAAAAATCTAAGTTATAGAGCAACAATATTTTTTAAAATATTCACAGAGATCAACACTATAGAGATTTAAGTAAATCTTATTTCTTTTGTAGTGCTACTACTTCATTATGAAGCGGCAAACCAATCTGAGCTCAATACTTCTCATACACCAGTTGTTACCACAGCACCGAAAAAACTGAAAAGTGTTATAACAAAGCACTTAATTCTTGCCAGATTCTTAGTATAGGCCCTTCAAGTATCAAAAGATCAGGGAAAGTGTACCTGGGTTTGAGATAGAACACGGATTCCTCTGATTTCTCCATTTTTTGAATTGCTTTCTCCAGACCATGAGGAAGATCAAAGTTTTCACCTTCCCCAATCTCAAACCGCAATTCCCGCTTGTCAAAAACACGACCTGCGTATCGGCCTTCAAACTGGACTAGTAAGAAAAAATAGAACAACACAGATTAAAATCAGAATATATATATATATATGGTACGGGGGAGATAGCACAGGAGTACACTGGGAGTTCTATATAGGCAGGCAGCACAAACAAAGTGCCAAAGCCTTTTTCTAAACAGTGTTTTTTAACAGCTACCTATGCATGGTGGCTACTGGCAGGAAACAGAACTTCTGCTGTTAAACTTAATAACCCCCTTTTTTTTTGTTCATCTGTTTGTTTTTTCCATTCGAACAACAGGTCCCAGAATGATCCCTCTCTTGTTCCTCAGCAAATGGAAATACTTCATTAGACTCATCAACCTTTTGTGATCAGATAAGCACTTCAACAGATTCAGTATCACTGGAAGAACACAGTTGCTGCTGGAAAATGTAAACCTTGCTAGAAATAAGAGAATGAAATCTTACTCTAGGTTGTTAAGTTACTTGGTAAAGGAAAGAAAAGCTGTGTATTCCTCTCTCTCAGGGCAAGGACTTGTAGATTATGAAAAAGGTTTTGCCATCCCACATGGTAAACCCATTTACTAATTGTGTAACAACAAACTTACTCTCTACGAGTGCATCCTCATTGGGCTTGGAGTAGCCCTCCCCTTTTTTACGGATTCTCCGGATGATGCCACCATCTTCTTCATCAGTGAGGTCCTCCCCCTTGAACTCAAAAAGTTCTATCTGTGGAGGGAAGAAACACCTTGCATTTATTCTCACTACACCAATTTGGTAGCTCCCAGAATTTGTTCTACAGTGATCTTTGAAACTATAGCTTTGTAGGAAGTCACTATCTTAGTTAATGACCTGTAAGATATGGGATAGCCAAGGCTCTGAAGATGATATTGGATGGAAACCAGTAGATCCTGGAAGGAAACCTATTGAAGAATTTCAACTTTCAGGCTATATTCAAGCCTTTTCAGCTATTTTTCTCCACCAATCTTGGTCTCCCAATACTAAAAATTAGATCCTTTAAATTAAAGGACTGTGAACCTGGCTTCTGAATAAAGCTTATATGAGCCACAATGCTTAGAGTTTACTTTAAAAAAAAAAAAAAGATTCTATTGGCTTCTTTAATACTATTTTTGCCAATGTCTGCAGGCAGAACTATGGATAATTGTTTTTGGTTGAGGTTTGATGTTTTCCTAATATGAGGGAAAATACCTTTTGAACACATTAAGCCAGGAAGAATTTACTCTCACTTGCCACTCTGCAGTGCTACCACACTGATCAGCTGTCCCCTCTTCTTACTCTACAGTCAAGTGGAACCACCAGTAGTGTCACTGCAGCCATGGACCAAGGTTTTTAAGTAAGGCAAGGACAAAAGGAGCAGGACAATAAAAAGAAGATGTAATTCTTATCCTTAATTCATGATTATACCCTTAATTTCATCAATGGTCAAATTCAGATCAACTTTAAAGTGCTTGGAATGAAGCTTTAACTGATTCCAAATGCTTGTCCTGAAACATTAAAACAAATTCAAGAATATATTTTCAAACTTCAGCCATTCCCTACTCATTTCTTCATCCTCCTACTCTTGTGCCACAGGACAGTAGTTTCAAAACTTCTGTGCATTCTCCCTTGCATGCCTGCACAGAGCCAGAGTTATCTTTTTACTTGTTACATTTTCCCTTCTAGTCTTGCTGTACCATTTTGTATTGTGAGATCATTTCAGAAAAAAAATACTTCCAGAAGAAGGATAAAAGAAAAAAAACATGATCTGGCCCACCTTTAATCTAAACTCCCTGCTGCAATAAATTGTTTAGAATTTTGAAGAGCCAGTGTTAATGTAGGAAATACCTATCCAGTCTGAATCTTCACATGCCCTCCCCAAGTCTCTAATGTAAAATCATAGTTTCATGTGGGAGTACCATGATGAGATGGAAAAATAGTCTAGTTACAAAACATATTTGTTGTTGCTATGAAATGAATTAAAAAGATATTTTGTATTCCATGTTTGAGTAAAACAATAGTAAAAACAGCACAAAAGAGCAAGCCATTATAATCAGAATTGTTAAGACTACCTCATTTAGGAAAAAAAAAAGTTCAGGGCTAATGCTGTGAAGGTTCCTCACACCGGACTTAAGATACCTAGAATGTAAAAGGAATTGAATATCCACCAACACAAAGAGTACTTCCACTTTTTATTTTGACGGACACCTAGTAATGAATAATATTCTGGTCTTTCTCTTCAGTCTGTCTGAAAAATGTTGTAATTCCTGAACATTCTACTGATGGCCATACAGGTATGTGTGTCCCTTTTTTTTCCTCCCAAAACTGAACACCAGTATTCTATGGAATAATCTACCTATTTATATTGTTCAGCAAAAACAATCATGAGTAAATAAAAAAAAAAACCAAAACAACAAAACACCACCAGATCAAAAAAAACAAATCATAGGATGTCAATTATTTCAGGTCATAAAGAAATGCTGATGAGATGACACAGATACAAAATCTTTTAATGTAAGTTTTAGAGGGTCCTTTCTAAGGCAACCTGTACAAAATTTTGGTATGGTGTTAAGCAATTGCAAAGGACCCATGCTGACATTGTTTCAAATAATAAAAAGGAAACGTAGAAGCAAAACTAAAAAAGTGGAAACTTAAAAGACTAAGTGCCTGAGAGTCATACTAGTCAGAAATTACTTTTACCTAATAACACTTAGGAAAACTTTCCAGATCTAACTTCCAACCAACACCCCCAGTCAGGACACATCCAGCACTGTATATTTGGTGCAGCCAGTCAGCTGCAGGCTGTTTTATTAGGGAAGCACAAAACCATCATAGGCAGCTTCAGTGCTTTTCTTTCTTTCTCCCTTTATTCCTTTAACATTACTGCTTAGAAAGGCACTAGGGGATATCAAGGATCATGAATGAAACACTGCTTACCCAGAAAATGATGGAGAGGTCAGACTGGCATCGTTAAGGAAAACCCAGTGAGAAGTGAATAACCTGGATGACTACTTCAGATAGACTCAATAGTAGTCTGATGGAACAAATCCCATCTTGCTTTGATTCATACTTTTATTTATCAAAACACTGGGTATTATCTCATTGCAGGTCAGTGAAAGCTTCTCTGCTTTGTACTGTCCATGCACATCCTGTGTACTAGTGCTAAGCCTTTAAGAATGCTCCACTGTGCTGCAAAGGTACAAGGTCTTGAGCTTTTAGCTTGCATTTGAATCATCCGCTCAGTGTTTTTTCTCTCCCCCTTGTATCCTGTCCTGATTACACTTAGTTTCACTAGCATGTGTGTGAAGCACACAGCACTCCAACTTGTAGTTTGATCCAATAAGTAAGCCATGAGTAACTTAAGATTTATACAGAAGAAAATGCTGTTTACCAACAGCTTTACAAGATATTATTTTTCAACAGCCAACTACAGAAATAATGGCATTAATTTTGATGTACTTAAAATAAGTTGCCATCCCTTAGTGACACTACCTATACTAGCACTGTTTTTTTAATCCTTCTGCACAAAATATGTCTTTAATCCTATTACTCACTAGTCCATGGGGGAAAAAGAAATGCCAATACACTATCCAAATGTAATACAAATACAATATCCAGCTATGTGAAGGTCAATGGCATCCTGGCTTGTATCAGGAACAGTGTGGCCAGCAGGACCTGGGCAGTGATTGTCCACCTGTACTGGGCATTGCTGAGGCCACACCTCAAATGCTGTGTCCAGTTTTGGGCCCACCACTGCAAGAAAGACACTGAGGTGCTGGAGCATGTCCAGAGAAGGGCAACAAAGCTGGTGAAGGGTCTAGAGAGTAAGTTCTAAGAGGAACAGCTGAGGGAACTGCAGGTAGGTTCAGCCTGGAGAAAAAGATGCTCAGGGGGTACCTTCTTGTTGTACACTATACAACTACCTGAAAGGAGGCTGTAGTGAGGTGGGGTCAGACTCTTCTCCCAAGTAACAAGTCCCAGGACAAGATGAAATGGCCTCAAGGTGCATCAGGGGAGGTTTGGATTGGATATTTGCATTAGAACAGGCTGCCCAGGGAAGTGGTTGAGACACCTTCCTTGGAGGTATTTAGGTGTAGATGTGGTACTTGAGGACATGGTTTAGTGATGCACTTGGCAGTTTTAGGTTTAAACTGGACTAAATGGTCTTAAAGGTCTTTTCCAGCCTAAATAATTTTATGATTCTATGTATAATTTACCATTCTTAACAGATGTTAATTGTTTCCAATAAAAACTAAATACTCCATGAGCTATTTTGAGCAATCATCGAGTTTTAAAACTTTCTGTATGCCCCTAACATAGGAGTCCATTCAATTGATTAAGTATTTTAGAGCAAAGTAATTTTAAAAATCCCACTTAAAAAGAATCTGCCTTCTTTCAGGTAGAATTTATTTTAAAGTAATTGTTGGAAAATTGAACTGTTTCAACAGTAGGAAAAATATATCCTCTCCAAACACTGTTGAGACTGTCAGAGCATGCTTCAGAAACAGCTTTAGTATCATCCTCCATGGAAAAAATCAAACACAAGTCTCAGCATTCTGAGCAACCATTCTTGCTGTTGAAATAACGCACAAGAGACAGTTGCTATTTCCACACCCTTTTGGGAAGAGGTTTGAGGGAGTGACTTAAAGATCAGTAGGAGACAAATTCTCTCCTCTCCCGGTGAGGTTAAGAGAAATAACTGGCTCCATTTCATTTTCTCAACTACTTCAGAGTCCATCCGCCCTCCCAGCGTGCTCTTTCCTACTGCAAATCATTCCTTAACTAACATTGAAACCGAACACTGGAAACCATTCAAGTATTTTAAAAATGCCGAAAAAAAAGGAACCCAAGCCATTGCAGATCAGTAGCAGCCAGACTAAAACTTTGCCTACACTACCCAAAATTGACCATATTGTTTTCTTTAGAAAACCTAACAATCCTTTCAAAACTCAGTTTTGAAAGCATATTGCATCACACATTTTCTACTGTGAAATATGACTTTTGCTTGTTTTTCAAGTGTACAGTTTTAATGACCATCTCTCACTTACCTCAAAAATCAGTGTAGCATTGGGAGGTATCTTTGGGGGGCTCCCAGCTGAGCCATAGGCATATTCTGGTTTACATGTAATCCGACAGATTTCACCGATCTTCATAGTTGCCACAGCAATGTCCCATGCTTTGATCACCTCACCTATACAAGTCAAATGTCAATCACATGATTGCAAGGTATACATGAAAAGCATGATCAGCTGAAACTCAGTATCATCACTTCTAGCATACAGAAGAAGCTAGGATAGCAGAAACACTGAAGGACTTGTGCTCACTCTCATCTACCTACATCAGTTTTAAGCTTAATCAAATTCTGAAGTTTCCTGGGACCCAAATTTGTCTACGTTTCTTCATTCCAGGTGTAGCAACTCTTTTCATAGAATCATAGAACAGATTGGATTGGAAGGGACCTGAAAGGTCACCTAGTTCCAACCCCTCTGCCAGGGGCAGGGACCCTGCGCTTCCTTCCTTAGAGAGAATACAAGTCATCTGAACACAGACACAGGCTGAAGTGCTTGGCACAGTCTCAAGTGTGAGGAAGTAACAATAAACTCTTCCGAGAGGAAGGTCTCAGGGTGAGAGATTGCCTGCTCGTGTTTTGAAAACAATCCAAACCAACAGCCTTTTCTCTCTGTACTTTATCAGTTGGCAAAGAGCAGCACTAGTGGTAACTAAAAGTTACAAACATTTGTAACAAAAAGGGGGAGGAAAATAGAAATAGTATTCCTTCCAAAGCCAAAAAGGAACAGAAGTTGTAACAAAATTCGCTTTTTCAAGCTCTCCTACTTGCTGCTCCTTTCAAGTCCATCAAGCAGCCTGTTAATCTTGTATTAATAGGTACACTTAATATCTCAAATTTCAGTACAATGAATAAATCTCTTTTTTAAGAAAAGAGATAGTATCCATTTAGTTAAAAGCAGCAGGGAAAATATAATATTGAGGAATAAGATTTGCTGGAACAAGGATGCTTGGATTTTTGCATTCAAAAAATGAAGGATTTTGATAATGAAGAGATGCACTGCTCAAAGACTCATATGTGGGTTAATTTGGGAATTTTGTGGAAAAGGGAGTATATTTCATCATGCAGCAGCTGACAGCTGCTTCTGTGCACCCTGTCCCAGTATCTAGTCACAAATAAATACTCTGGAACTGGAGTCTGCCAAACAAAAAAAAAAACACACAACAAAAAAACAAACAAAATGCATATTCTGGCATATTTAACTACCCTTTGTCACTACACTTCAGGGTAGATTTGCTCCCCTGGGGTGCTTTGTCTGAGGCCTGTGAATCCTTCATCAGGCCTCAAGGGGCTACAGTTTTCTCATTCAGAAAAATCTCAAAGACATTCTGACTGGGCCATTCTGAGAGAACAAACTCTGAAAACAAGTTTAAGTAGTAACTTCAAAAGGCAAAGGAGGATCACACACAAGGAAATTCTACCTCAATTATTAGCAAAACTGATCAATACCAAACACAAGATATTACCTTTCCCCAAGTCAAATGAAAATTTGTCTCTCCTGTCCAGACTGGAGTCAAATTTTGTGCCATCAAGAAGCCATCCTGTGTAATGGACAGTCACTTTATCACCTATCATTGGAGACTCTGTCCCACTGCCTTCTCTCTTGACAACCTGAGAAAAACATTAAGAAAACAACATTAAGATCATGGAAACTAAGTCTGCCTATTGGACATTAAGTCCATTTACTTAGATGCATGCATTATCATCTTCAGTAGATAAAGGATTTGGAGGTTTACTTCAGTTATCTGGAAATGGATTGACTATTCTGTCTGCAGATTAGCAGTGCTGCAAATGCAGAACCTCAAGATGGCTGTGCTGTGATACGAGAACTTAATTGGCAACAGTTGGCACCAGATTACAGATCTCTGCATCTATAGTTAGCCATGTCACTTACCTTTGCTCAATAAGATTTCAAATGTTCTTGAAACTCAAACCCCCCCTCAAAAGGGGGTTTTTGCTTGATTCAAGTATTTGCCTCACCACCTTTCTATCATAACACCCCACTTCAGTGTTCTAGGCAAAGCATTTAAACAAGAAAACAAGGTGGTTGTTTCCATGCAAAATCTATACTAATATGTAATCTCAGATTACTTGAGTTAAACCAGGCAGTTTAACAAAGGTTAACAGAATCTCACCACAGAGCAGGTTAGTTTTATCAGCCTACAGAGCAGTACTTAAAAATTATTATATTGCATTAATTTTGTCTCCCTGCAAATCTGACATGGATTGCCAGCACATCTCACATACAGCTGCAAGGATTTGATCTTCTTCTCAAGAGGTTCCCCAGTGCGCCCAGCAGGACCGGTATCAACTACATCTACACTATCCAAAAAGCAAGATTGGCCAATCTCTCTGATGTTCATTTGAAATTCACACAAAAATAGAGAATAATAATGACATATCTCATAGGCAAGGAAGTGAAGCCTTGCCCGTAACAGGATTCCTGAAGTTCAGATTTGCATTTTCTCCAATACCAATTGAAACCATCTAGCTCTGAGCCAAAGTTGTGCATTCCTTCAGCTAGGCAAAAATGGAGGACCCTATTTGCTTGGATCGTGGAGACCTGGAAAACATACTGTTCATACAAGATAAACATTTATTCAAGGCCACTTACTCAAAAGTATGGATTGGCATCCCTTCTTTAAAGAAAAGCTATACAAGTGTCATGTTTCTACACCAATCATGTTTTTCACTGAAGGAAGCAGACCCATGGGAGTCTCCTTCACAAATTTTAACTTCTTACAACCCACCACTGTCAAACTCCTACTTTCCCTCCCACCATCCCTGCAACTATACAACTGAAATGCCAGTACTCTCCATCCAAAGCCAAGGCAATGTCGGCAGTTTCTGTCAGACTCTTAACAAGCTGAAAGCACCTCACTGGATTCATAAAACAAAGAAAAAATCCACAAACAAAGAAAATTCAGAAAAAAAATACTACCTGCTGTTTCCTAAGGCGAGAATGGTCAGTGTGAAAAAGGATGCCTGACCTCACACAGCACACCATCCCTTTACTCTGCACTGCATCATGCTACAGCAGCTATTAGCATGACAAAACTAATCTACTGGTATCTCTCCCAAGGAAGGCAACAGTTCAAGAAACCACTCAAGAGAGATAAGGAAACAGAGACCTACGAAAAAACCCGATGAATCTGGTAATCAACCTAACCTACATAATGCTTATATACATATAAAGTGGATCCAAACTACTTATTTTAAGGTAGACAGTCTGAAAGGCTTTTGAAAAAGTAACTACATTTAACGCAAATTCACTAAGCTTTTCCCAATACCATATTCTTGTAGTGTCATACCAAGGTATCCCACAGTTGTGAATATCTCGTTTTCATTATTTATACAGTATTATTCTTTCACAATTATTGCATTTTGAGGAGACTCAAGTTTCTCTTTTTTCACAGACTCAATATGGCAACCCTATTTTCTGTAAGGTTTACATTTCCGCTTCATATGGAGAAACAGGATTTTCCAGTTCATACTGTGGATTTCAAATAGTTTATTTCTAAACTTAAAAACTTACACTAGAAATAGTGCAAGCACATTCAGCAGTATCAGGTAAAAACCTGTGGATACTATTCTGATACAAAGCTAGTGAACAAATAAGCACACTCCTGGAATCAGTGCAATGATACCAGTACAAAATTGGTGTAGGTTTGTTCAGAGCTAGACCCTTGGTTTCAATGGGTGCATTCGGCACTCCAGAAATTACTAGCAAAATAAAATCCATGAAGGCTGGAGTTCATGACCTCTACAGTATTTTGCTTATCAATTCACCATCTCACCTTCTTTGTGGTTTTCACCACCTCAGTTATTTTGCTAGTATTTTTTACTCCCCTCCTTAAAAAAATTTGAAGTTAAAAAAAAAAAAAGGCAAAAACCAAAAACACCCCCCAAACACATGCTGCTTCATCATCTAAAGTAGGTACTGCATGGATTAGGCAGACGATCACTGCCTTCCACCGTGCTCAAGGGACCTGAACTGTGGGAGACCCAGAGGCACCTTCTGGGCAACCGTGCTTGCAGACGAGAACTCTGACCTGATTATTGTGCTATGTGCAAAAACCAGAAATTCTCACCAAAGCATGCTAGCAGGAAAGATGGGAAAGAGTATAGAAGACAAAATCTGGTCCCTGCTACCCCTCCTGAATGGGAGACGGCGCCTCTGTGACAAACCTAAAATTTAAAGTCAGAGGGCTCTAAAGGTTAAGACCAGAATTTTGCCTTTCCTGTGGCGCCACTTTTTTCTTCTGAATACTGAAATTTTACTGCGATCGAATAACGCTACTAAGGATCGTTACAGGTTTTAGCAGAGACTGAGGAAGTTTCTAGAGATATGGAAATAGGCGACGTCTGACAGAGGAAGTTCGTGCAACTCCCCCTCACGGTATAAATTCTGCTGCCCTTATCGCCTGGCTTCCTAGTTTACAAAGGGGAGCAGCCGCTCCGCCGGAATGCGCGGCACCGCCGGAGACCTGCCCGGCCGCCCGCCAAGCAGCACCGCGGGGCAGCGGCACCGAGGGGCGGCCGCCCCGCTCCGCTGCTGCCGCCGCGCCCGCCCGCACCGCGCACCGCCGGGCCTGGGGGGCCGCCGTGCCCCGACGAAGAGCGCCGTGCCCGGAGCTCGAAGAGCGGAGCGCGGCGCGGCCGGGCACCGGCGGGGACCTGCACCGAGTCCACGTGCCCGGCCGGGGCTCCATCTTTAATTCCCAGCCCCAAACACGTGCTGGCGGGGCGGACCCGGACCCCCAAAACCTGCCGTGCGGGCAGAGCCCCGCCATGCGAGCCGGGCGGTGAGCCCGGCCTGGCCCTCCCATCCCGCATCACACCCCGCAGACCCGGGGAATAGCCCGAACGGAGCGGGAAAGCGCCTTTCCCCTGCACAGTCGTGTGTCCCGTCCCCCCCCCCCTCTACCCCGGGCTTTCCCGGCGGGCAGCCTGGGCTCCGGCTCGCCCGGGCCAGGGAAGTTGGAGCCGGGAGGAGAGGGGAGCCGCCGCGTGGGAGCCCCCGCGGGCGAGCGGGCAGCGCTTGCGCAGCCGGGGCGCGCTCTCGCCCTCCCCGGTCGCCGCCGCCGATGTTTAATCGCCCGCGCTGCGCCAACCCGGCCGGGGCTGCCCGGGGACCGCCTCGTCCCCTTCTCCGCGGGCGACATAACGGGCCTGGCGCGGCCAGGGCGCCCGGGAAGCACCCGCTCGCAGGCCAAGAGAAACGCCTCCTCTCCCCGCCGGCGCAGGGACCACCGCGAGTCAGCGCGGGGGGTGAAGATGGGGAACAGCCGCCTGGTACCTTGAGGACGCCCTCATCCTGCTTGGGGGTGATGTCTGTCCCTTCCAGGGGAGCCCCGTCCGCTTTCATCTCCTCCGCCGTCATCCTGCCCGCCGCTGCCACCGCTGCGCAGGGAAGGGCCGCCTCGCGGGGTCGGTGCTGGACTGGGCACCGGGAATGGGGCTGAGGGAGCGCCTCGCTGCACCTCCGGCTCTGAGCACCGCGGGCGGGGGCGGGCGCCACACGCCTCCTTCCCTGCTGCTCTCGCCGCAGCGCCGGCCCCCGATCGGCGGGGAGGAGGAGGAAGGGGAGGGGAGAGGGAGGGACCGAGAAGTTTCTAGAGCAGCCGCCAGGCTGCCGCAAAGCGCCTGGCTGTGCCAGGGGCCGGGGTGAAAGTGTGCGTCGCCCCCGGGGGCGGAGAGGCCATCGCCGGCGGGGCGGGGGTAAGGCAGCCGCCTGGCTGCGTTACACGTCTGGGGCGGCGGGGACTACGGAGAAGAAGAGGAGGAGGAAGAGGAATAGATTATTCATGACAGGAGGAAGGGCGCGCTTTTACAGCGCTGGGCTTGCGGAGCAGGAGCGCCCACGGCTCGCAGGTGTTGCAGGGGTGCCTGGCCCGGCAGCGAGGAGGAGCTGCTGCGCCCTGCCCTGCCTTGGACAGGTTTCGCTGGAAGCTGCATTTAGAGTGAAAGTAACCCTCCTGCCCTCTCAGTAGTAGCAGCCCCCCTCGTCCCCCTTCGGTATGAGCAGCCCTGTGCAGGTGCGTGGGTTTGTATTCTTTTCGCCCACCTCGCGGTTGTGGACGGTCACAGGAAAGGTTGTACAAGCGGGCACGGAAGCACCGTGCCGGCAACGAGCTCAGACATCCCTTGGCTTGCAGGGCTGGGGATCACGTTAGGAGCCATGTACTTGAAACCGATTTGTTTCCCAGGACCAGGGAAGGTGAAGACGTGCTTAAAGCACAGCGTGTAAGCTCTGTGTTTCGCCCATCTGTATCCATACGGATAAAGTTAGCACCGTTTTGTTCCTCAACCTGCCGGTGGAATATTTCGGGATGCATAAATAAAAACGGTGATACGGTGCTTTTGGCCAAATCATTTCCAATGATCTAAAATCAGACTAGAACCTTGTCCATGATCTTGGGCATAAATAACTAAAGCAAGAGTTAAATGGATTCAACCTTCCACTGCAAGCCATTAATACCGGCCGCCCCGTGCAGCTTTGCCTACCCCCCCGCATAGGGTGGCACCTTTCCCGGCTCTTCTTGAACTTTCCACTCTCTCCCTCCGCTTTCCCCCTGGGTGCCGGGCTCTGGGCGGATGCGGTGGTACCGCAGCCCCGCCTGCCAACCTGCTGCAGACGCTCCTCCGCGCCGCCGGCTCCAAAAAAGCGCCGGGGCTGCTCAACTGCGTCCGTACCGCACATACTCGCTGAGCGGCGGAGGGATGGACAGCCGCCTGCTTCTTATGCGCGTTCTTCCTTTGCATCTTCAGCGTGATGTTTGAGCCTTCATTAACAAAACCGGGTACTGAGGGTGAAAGGAAGGGGGTTCGCAGGCAGGTGTGCAGTGTTCCGGAGTTACTTTTCCCTCGCACCACGGGCCCATACAGTGCAGACCTCTAAGTTCAGAAGGGATCCCTGGAAAGGCTGCAGAAAGTTTGGCAGTGTGTGAGCTTGCTCTGTGAGTCCTGATGCTGCATGCAACCTGAAGTTGTTCTGTGCCAGTATAAAGCTGTATCTGTGCATGGTGCACAAAAACTCCAGCACCCTTAGGTGGGGTCTGCTGATGCCAAAGGAAAGTAGTAGCAATAGAGCCTAAATGAAGAACCTGTAGTTACTTCAGCAAGTGGGTATAAACTGCAAAATCTACAGGTTTCCCCTGAGGAAGAGCCTGCTTTTCAGCCCCAAGCAAACATACACTTTAGTGCACTTTCAAACTGAGTAAGCAGGGGGAAGGTGGAGAAGGAGAGAATTGTGGTTTCTGTGTGCATTTAGTCTAGAAGCTTCTAGCTGCTTTCAGTTTGCAATTTAACATGGATGAGTTATTTGATTGCAGATTAGATCTGTAGGAGGTTCTGTACATAGACTCTAGACCCTGATACACTGAGGAACAGAGAGAAGCATCTAAGCTGGTTCTGGTCCAGCAGGTCTAGCAGGTCTTGCTAGGGGAGGCACAGCAAAAATATCGGAGATACTTCTTCATCTAATGAGTCTGTATGGCACTGAATTTACGTTCTCCAGTCAGTACTAACACACAAATTCTCCACAATCCCAATTCATCAGGTCTGACCTCTTTCTTTTCATCTAAATTTTCTAATAATAAACCAAATATAGTTGGTTTAATATAAATTTTTGCAGATCATCTGCTTCATGTTGGCAATGAAGTTTCTGTTTGGGACAGGTACTTTTTCAGCCACATATTGTATATGTCATAACCCAGCATTTGTTAATTGCAGTATGTAGAAATGATGCCAAATTATCTACAAACATGCTAGAATCAAGTTTAGGAAAGTGATAAATAGTAGAAAAGAAAGGATATCTCTTAGTGGAGATCACTTGCAGATGTTATATGTCTCATATTTTCTGCCATCTCCCTGTTTTCAGCATAGCAGTGCAAGCTCTTACATAAGTAATTTAAAGCAAGTACTGCAAGCTATGTCCCTTAGTAACTTTCTAAGACTACATAGATACTGTTTAAGGCCTTCCTTAAGGGCTGTATGGGCAGAGTTTTATGGATCAGGGGACAGAGATAGTAGCAAAAAGACAGTGAGTATTTTAGGTGATGTCAATGTCATAATGCTTTTGTTAGAGTATGGATGGAGGGAAGGCAGCTTAGAAGAGGAGACTCCTTTAAGGCATTATAAAGGAGCCTCGTGTCAGGCCTGTTCTCAGAAGATACATTGTAGAGACAATTTTGAAACTAAAGACAGTCACTAAGCAAGATGGGGAGAATAAAAAGAAAAGATTTCAGAGCTTGATGGGTATGCTTAGGTGAAGAGAAAATGAAAAATCTGGCAATAGCTTTCAGGCAGAGTGGAAGACAAGTGAGATGATTACCTCAAACAGCAAAGACTAGCTCGGGCAGTAAAATGTCCTGAAAAATATCTAATTGCAGCAAGAGTCTGGAACAGCCTCCCAGGACACAGAGCCAATCTAAAGCTGGTCAGCAACATGCTAGAATTATGAATAGGCTTATTCAAAGACTAGCTAGAGATAACAAGGTTTGGACATAAAGCATAAAAGATGGCATGGGGCAACACAGCTCAGCTGGAACTTTGTTGGCAGGTCCTACACAGGCAAGGGCAGGACTCAAGGTGGCCTATAGCCCATCAAGAAGGGAGGATCTTTGGGTTGCTATCAAATGGTCAACTTCCCGGGTATGTCATGGCTTGAGTCACTGCACTGTGTAGGTTGACCAAAACCCCACTGGGACAGGCTGTGGCCTCAAGTTCACTTGCCCAGCTGTGTTGATCATGCTGGCACTGCAGACTCACTGGAACTGGGAAAAGGAGTGAGGAATGCGTGTCTGCACAAGCTCAAAGATGACATTATGAGATAGCAGCAAACAGAATAACCAAAAAAGGAATGACCCTGGCTATTAATTTGTGATTGGAACAGGAACTGAACCCAAGCTCATCATGAGCACTGGTTTCACGCTTGATTGGCTTGGAAGGGCTGAGCACAGGGTGTAAGAAAGGAATAAAGACAAAAGCCACATACTGTATCAACTTGGACTCACCACCAGCTTGCAGATGGACTGACAGCCCAGCCATCAGCAGGGATGCTCCTGATGCCAACTGCAAGGGAAGACAAGATTCAACCCAGTGTGGCTTGAGTGTGGTGAAGACATTCCTGGGGAAACTAGTACCAAAAGGAGAGCTCACAGGACATGAACAAGAGCGATAATTTGTGCACCCATATTATTTGAAGTAAGGCTTTAAAACTTTGGTCAATTGTAAATATCTAGCTAGCTAGCTGCAATAACGAAGAGCTAAGTTAAATTGTTAGGTTTTTTAAGTTAGTTTTTTTAAGCTAGTTTTTTTAAGCATATGTTTCTTCTGAGGTATTGTTTGGTTAGTCTCAGAATCCAAAAGAAACCCAAGATGTTAGTGTGTCGCACTTATGCTGAGTTGGAAAAGAATATGATTTAAGACATCAGGGATAGCTTGTAGTTACTTCTGCTCGTTGCATTATAAAATATAACAGTGATAAGGAGGAAATTATGCTCAGCATATAGAATTGCACTTTTTTGTTGCAAGGAGTAATTCTACCCTTGAAGTCCACAGTAGGGCACAAACCTTCATCAGTCTAACCCTATACCGTTATTTTGTGTGACATGCCTGTGACAGGCTATTAAGAATGTCACCTGCTGCGTACCACCTGAATTATACCCTGCCTGTTTTTCATTCTCAGCTTCGCTGAGCTGTCCCAGTATCCCTGGTTTCCCTTGCTCCTTGGCAGTGTAAAGGAAATCAATTCCTGTCCTTTTAGTTTGGAAGGGATAAAGTTGTTGGTTTTCCTTATCCTTTACCACATCACTACAGATTGTAGTAGATTGGCATGACCTCTTTTCTGTTCCTTTTCAAATGAAAACATAGCAATACACTCATTCCCTGCTTTAAAACCAAGCAACATTTAAAGGGGCGTGACCTGAGCTGTTGTATAGCAGGCATGCATGAGACTCAACCCTCCAGCACCGGATTGGAAAAGGGCTGTCTGTATCTGCAGTTCCCTGGGATTTCTGAGCTGTTCTGCTCCTTGTTAACCAACAGATGTCAACATTTTTCTAAAACTATGGGGCTTAGGACTTGCAGATAGGCAAGGTTTAATTTTTAAAAAATTATTTCTTGGTATGGTTATGATTTCTTCTCCTTTGCTTCTGTACATTACCTTCTATTTTTTAGTAATTTCATTTATGTGATATATACACTGTCCTTTGTTGATCACAGATGTAGATTTTCAAAAAGACTAAACAGCAATTTTTTTCTATAGACACCTCTTCTGATTCAGCATATCCCTGTCTTTACTATTCATAGCTCATCAGCCTAATTTCAATTCATAGAAAGTTAATAAAATTAATTTTAATTAAGATGTTATTTACTTTTCCAGATGCAAAATTATTTTAAAATACCAAGTCAAGTTTCATCAGCTGCTTTCATTTTGTTCTTTCCTTGCCTTAAAAGCAATCAAGATTACTAGACAAATGTATGTATAGACATTCTGATTTTATATTTCTTTGCATCCTGTTAGCCAGTGAGTCTACCCTAATGTGTGTATGTTAATACCACCAGAAAGGATGGGCAGTTCATGTTTGGTTTTTTTCCTAAAAATACAGCAACATTTCACCAGGCTTAGATATTGTAATGTTTTGTGATCTATTGCTGTGAAGTGCCATATGAAAATAACACCAATAACAGTAATTATGGATAGCAATTGCCTGATTGATTCTCCTGTACTTTTACTAAAAGATACTTTTTTTAAGGTTTTATCAATTTTCAATCTTTTTCCTAATAACTCTTGGGATTGTAATTGTAAAAAAATTAATTGCAGTAACTTCCTTTGTTAATTTCTTTCTTGATCTAATTTTAGAGTTCTCATTAATTTGCAACCTAATCTACTTCTTTGGCTCTATTTTCCTAGGATGTATTTAGATTTTGGGTTTTTAAATTTTATTATGTAACCTTGGAAAGGTTTTCTTTTAATGTATTTTTTTCTAATTTTATCTTTCCATTCAAGCTTTCCTGCTTGACTGTCTGCACCTTCTCCATCTCTCTTCTCTGGCTGTGTCAGGGGAAGTTCAGATTGGATGTTAGGAAAATATTCTTTACAGAGAGAGTGCTTGGTCAGGCACCAAGCCTGTCAGATTACAAGAAACATCTGGGCAATGCTCTTACTCATATTGTTTAGTTTTAGGTAGTCCTGTGAGAAGCAGGGAGTTGGACTTGATGATCCTTACAGGCCCCTTCCAACTTGAGATATTCTGTAATTCTGTGATCTGCACTAGGTGCCTTCTTTTGCCATAGTTTTGAGCACGTTTAAAGAAAGCTGGTTGTCCAAGTTTAAGTGTTGTGCTCTCTTTTGTGTGCAGTCAGTTGCATCTGAATCTCTTGCTTCATCTCACCACCTTTTTTGCCCATTGCTCGATCTTTACATCTCATGGCTTACTGCTTTATCTTACCTAGCATAGCCCAGTGGTGACTTCAGGGTGCTTATACTTTCACAGGTATAGGGCAAAGAATGTTCAGTTCTGGGAGTTCTCACATCCATGGAAACACAAGTTTGAGCCCATTCAGAAATGGACCAGCCTCACAGTTACCCTGAATGCATGGGAGCACACACTGGCTAAGACCAAGTTCCTGATCCTCCAGCAGTACAGGCTACTGAGCTCATTACTGCCCCAACACCAGCCCAGGCTCTCGCTTGAGTGCTTAGACCAGCTACAGAGCCTGCTTAGTCTTGCAATGTAGACACTGCTTTTCTTTATAAGAATGTGCCATAGAACTTTGAAGCATCCTCGCAGGTTTTATGTATGTTAAATTTGTATTTGTGCTACACAGCACACAAGTCACAGAATCACAGAATGTTTTGGGTGGAAGGGATTTCAATGATCACCTAGTCCAAACCCCCTGTCATGGGCAGTGATACCTTCTATTAAACCAGGTTACTCAAAGCCCCATCCAACCTGACTTTGAACACTTTCACTGGTGGGGCATGCACAGTTTCTCTGTGCAACCTATTCCAGTGTCTCCCTACTGTCCTTGTAAAAAATTTCTTCATTATAGCCAATCTAAATTTACCCTCTCTGTTTAAAACCTTGTTGATGATGAATAGGTATAATGAATATAAGTATTTTTGTCTCTTCAGCAAATACCAAATGTCGGCATTCCTCTCCTTGCTCAATTTGTCAAAAAATATGTGAAGAAGAAAGAGTCCACCAATTCCTTACTAGCTGCAGGGTTTGCAGCATACTTGGGTTTTGGTTATTGTGCAGAAGACAGCTGGACTGTAAATCTGAAATAGAGGAAAGAGTGGAAAGCCCATGGGTCAACTCTATTTAAGAAGAACAGCCAAGTCCCTAGGAATTGTGTGTCTCCCTCACTTAGGCTGCCTGTGTTCTTAACATGTGATCCACCCCACTGGCTGTCCTGTGTCTTTTGTCCTGTTTCTCACAGGTTCTCCACAATCCCGTACTTTTGACTCATGAAGATCCTCACAGGGTTTACAGGGACCTTAAAGGCTCACCCAGAGTGACTGACCACTTGACACACAAAATCTCCCTTACTCACCCTTAGAGCTCCCCCAGGTCATCTGTCTCACAGATATTCTTCCTGAGTGGACCAAGGGGTATTCCTTCCTTTGTAGCACATTTCTTTGGCTTGTGTGTGATGGCTTCTGGACAGCAGGTGATACAATCTCAAGTCTGTATTTAATGAAATTTGATTATCTTCCCACGGCATTTTTGTCCCTTTTCCAGAGACAGAAGAAAGGCTATGATAGAGTTAGGCATCTTGCAGGATTTATAAATGTATGCTCCAATACCTACTCTCAATTTTCCCAACTCTGCAGGGAGTAGGAACTGTCTGGAGGTGAGAGGTATAAGGGGCAGGAGGGAAGACAAGGGATCAAGAATCTGTCTGAGACACTGTCATGGAGAATTTGTACTTCCATGTTAAGAAGGAAGGCAGCTAGGAGCCAAGATCTTCCCCTTCCTTCTGTGTGTGCCCAACAGTAGTTGTTTCCTCCTGACTGACATGAGAGACATACAGACCAGTCTTCTGTAGCTTCCTTCAATTCTTGTTAGCCATGTGTGTTCTCTGTCCCTGCTGTGTTTTCTCCCATCTCCCTCTTGAAAGAGATCATCTGTAGTTGTGTCTATTCTGGGTCTAGTGAGTGCACTTCCTTCCCTCTCTCCACACTGAAATGTTTAACACAATTGAAATGGAGAAACTGTGATTACATACGATTTGAGAATTCTCTTATATGATGACAATTGCTTTCAGTTAAGAGAGTTAAAATCCTTCACAAGGCAGCCACACCTTGCTCTGGATAAATACCAGGGAGCAGTAGTCCTCCCAGGTCCAGAGTCTAGGATGTTAGCTTTCAGATCCTGTGATAAGAAGAAAGGTGGGGGCTAAGAAGTTTTCTAAGTTTACTTCAAATCTAGTCCTGTAGGGTAATCATCATGTAGAACACCTGAAGAACAATTCTAAGCACATATACAGGCTACATGGAGAATAAATTGAGAGCAGCCCTTCTGAAAAGGACTTGAGGATGTTGGTTGACAAGAAGCTCAAAATGACCTGGCAATGTGTTGCAGCCCAGAAAGCCAATCGTGTCCTGGGGTGTATCAAAAGCAGTGGGACCAGCAAGTTGAGGGAGGGGATTCTGCCCCTCTGCTTCACTCTTATGAGACACCACCCGGAGTACTGCATCCAGCTCTGGAGTCCCTAGTGCAAGGAAGACATAGACCCGTTGGAACAAGTCCAGAGGAGGGCCACCAAGATGATCAGGGAGCTGGAGCACCTCTCATATGAAGACAGGCTGAGAGAGTTGGGGTCATTCAGCCTGCAGAAGAGAAGGCCTTGGGGAGACCTTAGAGCCCCTTCCAGTACCTGAACGAAACTACAAGACAGCTGGAGAGGGACTTTTTACAAGGACATGGAGTGATAGGACAAGGAGTACTGACTTTAAACTGAAAGAGGGCAAGTTTAGATTGGATGTTAGGAAGAAATTCTCTACTGAGGGGATGGTAAGGCACTGGAGCAGGTTTCCCAGAGAAGTTGTGTGTGCCTCATCCATGGAAATGTTCAGAGCTGGGTTGGATGGGGCTTTGATCACCCGGTCTAGCGGAGTGGAGTGAACAGCTCAGCAGCATCAATCCTCATTCAGACAAAATAGCTTCTCAGGTCTTGTTTTGCACCTGTTTTCCATTGTTTCAGGGCTGGGGGAAGGATGTGAAACTGCAGAAACTTGTTTGCCCCATTGTTTTGTTCTCCTGAGCCACATGGTCCAGTGGACGGAGAGGGGGTCAGGTGCCATCTTGCCTTTGTCTGAGAAAATGACAGCAGATGCTCTCTATGGGAAGTGTTTTTGTCTGTTCGGTGGTGGATACCCTATTGTGAGTAGAGCACTCTCTCTTTTGTTCCCTCTTTAATTGATACTGATGTCGTTATGGCAAGTTTCTCAGGAAAATTGTGATTCCAAGTTGTGGTCTCTCCAAGTGTTTCCTCTGTTGTTGTAAGGGATCAGGGGAGTGGGCAACTTGAGTGGGGTTAATTTTCCTGCTGGGTTTTTAAACTAGCACAATGGGAAGCGTAGTTTTTGTCCTGTGTTAATCAGGATGTTTGACTCATAAATCTTATGTTAAACAACAGTGGAGTCTCATGAATAGTTTGGATGGAAAAACAGAGCTTCCAGGCATGTCCAGAGGATATGAAATGAGAATGATACTGTCATTCTTGATCAGGTTGCTGTTTCTAAGCACTTTGGGACTTGTGTCAAATCCAAATCAAGGATGCAGCTGCCCCAGGACTTACCATTTTCCTGTGTTTGCATAACAAGTATTTGCTTTCAGGGTAGCCAAATATGAAATGCATGTGAAGATTGGTGTTGGCACGCGATGCTGCCCAGGAAAGGGCCACGCCCCCGTGGTGCAGCTCCTTTCATGCAGTAAGTGTTGCGTTCCAAGTCACTCCTCTGAATCCTGAATGACAGAAACTGCGCGAGAGTGGGTTGTACTCTCTGTCTCAAAGTCTTCCTGTTTGCACAGTCACAGCTGCCGCAGCTCGACAGAAGACGACCTCAGGGAAAACCTAAGCCAAACTTTCAAACTGAGGGAGCCTTAATAGCACGTGTCACCCATAGACCCCAAAGGGCTTGGCAATCAAGGTTAGTACCATCCTCCTTACCTCGTAGATGGGAAAACAGATGAAACAAAGAAAAGAGAAATTATTTTCTTGAGATTGCAAAGCAGTTTGGATCAGGAAACTAGGGCATGAATCTCCTGTGCCCAGACCTGCTCTCCTAGGTACTGTGTGACTTAAACTGAAGTTATTCCGGGGAGCTGGTTGTCTCCATTGTTTGTGCTTGCTCTCCCCCAGCCTCAGAGCAACTTCTAATACTAAGCAAGAGCTTATAGGGCCTAAGTGAAGGTAGAAAAATACAACTTTGGAACAGCATGTTGCAGCAACTGTGTGTAGCTCTGTACATATCCAATTAGGAGCTAAAATATGACCTGCATGTTCGAATTATGTTGTGTTTTCTGTTGATACAATCTTTTCATTTTCTGAGTGTTTCTGTGTAAACCACCTCTACCAAGCAAGTTCCTAATAGACTTCCTGGAACCTCTGGCCCTCTCCATCTCCAAATAAATTGTTAATGGGGAAGTGAATACCTGTATTTCCCTATTTTGTCCCATGGTGCTTAGCAGAATTTGTTGAAACAGTCATTTTCTTTGCCTCCATCATCTTGATATACTTGTCACTTTAATTTTTTAATTTTCAAATTTAAATTTTAAATTTAAGTTAAATTTAAAATAATTTTTAAAATTATTTAAATGGTAAATACTGTGATAACAAAGCCAAAAAAGCAAACAAAAAAAATACCAAATCCCCCAAAAAGTTGTGTCCACAAAGCGGATTCCTTTTTGTTTGGAGTTCCTACTAGACAAGAAAATTACTCCACAGGGTTGTTACAGCTGTCCTTTATTGCTAAGCCATGCTGTAATGGATTTTGGTCTTCTCTCCACCAGATAGGAGCTTCCTGAAGATGAAACCCTCTGCCACCTATGAGCTGTTAGTGGACAGTGTTGGGCCATGGGACTTCACTGACGGTTTTGTTCCTTGTGAACTGCTACTTGTCGGAGAGGATGCCTACCCTGTGCTCCTGAGTGCTAAGAAGCAAGTTCTGATTGCTGTTTCACAGTATGGGAAGGGCCGGATGGTGGTTGTTTCCCATGAAGGAATCTTGAAGGACTCCAAGTTTTCCCAGTTCCTCAGAAATGCTGTGGAGTGGCTCAAGCCTTGCCCCGAGGCCCTAGTTGGGGTTCATTCTCGGTTGGATTCCCTCTCCCAGGTGCTGCTCAGGGCTGGCACTAAAGTACAGGCCGAGGCAGAGCTCAGCCCCTCCCTGGGCGTGTACTGTGTGGATGCCTATGACAGCTCGAAGGCAAAAGACCTGGTTGGCTTTGTAAAAGGGGGTGGAGGGCTCCTCATTGGAGGCCAAGCCTGGCACTGGGCTAGTCAACATGGCAAGGAGAAGGTGCTGTTCGAATTCCCTGGGAACCAGGTGACCAGCGTGGCTGGCGTGTACTTCACAGGAAACGCTGTGGAAAAAGGCATCTTCAAAGTAGCTAAGAAAATTCCCAAGATCCCATTAGTTGTCCCGTGAGTATCTGAATTGCTCTCTATTTAAACAATGGTTCAGGTTATGCAGGTGAGCTGTTTATAGAAGATTCGTGAGGTGAGAGTTGAGGATGACGGTGAATGCTGGTTCTTTAATAGCCAGGATGGGATGCAACTGTTGTCTTCCAGTTTAAAGGGGACCTTTCCACTCTTTGTAATTGGAAAGAATGGTGTTTTCTACTGCTTCCAGTGCAGCTGGGACAGGCACAGGGAATCCATTCAGGGAGAAGAAAATGAGGGGAGCCATCTTTTAGAGCATTCTGCCTGATCAAGTGTACCTGAGTGCAACACACAGCAACGGAGGGACAGGAGGAGGAACTCCTTTCCCTCTCCCCATATTGAACATTTAGGGCAATTTTCCCATAGCTGAAAACCAGGTTGGTGATGAAGCAGCAGGCCAGCCCTCTGGGCCAGGCTTTGGCTGACAGCTGCTAAACCTGTTTAGCCTGTTACTTGCAGGAATTCACCTTCTGCAGGTGAGACTCTGGGGCTGCCCCAGAAGTGAGGATGCAGGCTGGGTGCCACCTTCCTTCTCACTTCTGACATGGGCTGAGGGCTGGAAATCTCAGTGCTCACAGTTTGTTTGGGATTCCAGCCTGTCCCTTTGGGTCCTGGAGCATCAGGTGTAAAACTCAGAGCTGTTATGACTCATATCACACAGCCGACCAGTCATTGGAGTCCTGGGCATTGCTCTGCCACCCTCCTCCCCTTGCCAGTGGCTGTGCCTGTTGCCACTTTCTGCTGAGTTACACAAGGCAGAGCAGGTTCTCCTAGGAGCATGAGTGCTGCTGCACTTCTACTGTGTGGCAGCTTCATTTCACTGTAGGGAAAGCCACAACAGTTGCAGTAAAAGTCCCTGCAAGTCTTTCCTTCACAGCCTTTTCCTTGTGGGTATATAATACTAAATTTCTAGTATTTTCAAACAATTTGATTTGACACTTTCTGGATGCTCAATTTATTTAGTAATGAAGGTAGTAGAAATCTCAGCTGTTGGATTCAGTGAGGTGCTTAGAATACAGCTAACAAATAAAGTTATTATTTGAAATTTGCTGGTTCATTTTTGTCCCCACCTGCATTGCACAGGCATGTTCCCACTGCTTCATGCACAGTGCACAGAAGAGGGAGAGGGGTGGAGAATTCAGCAGAGAAAAATTACATCGCAATTAATATGACTCTAAATGGTAACTAAGGTGAAATATACCTCGTTAAGGTTGCTTCTGTGGTGATTTTGATTCAATCCAGAGCCACAGAGAAATTTAGGTATCTAATTTCTGTGCCTCTAGGCCTTCCTGCCAGCTTTGTGTACAGAGAATCTGACTGCAGTCTGAGGCAGGTGCTGTGACATAAGCCAGGGCACATACTCTGTGTGACAAAGGGTCTCAGTAAAGTAGTAACCAAAGGAGAGCTGCAGATTTAATTCCTGTGATACAGGTGTGCAGAAGGGCAGCATAATTTATTCTTACTGATTTGGCTGCAATGGCCACGTAACAATAGATACTTCACAGGTGTTGGGGGAAAACTGTTTGGCAGAACCAGGAGAAAGTGTGCACAAAGCAAATGAGAGTCATTCAGCATGTCTATCTCCACAGTGACATAAAGGAGTTATATGGAAATAACAGAGATAAGAGGACCTTGCACAGCCTAATCTCTTTATATTGTGGAAACCAACAATGTGAGGTTATGTGAGGTCTGTGTGTTAGGGCTCCAATTCAACTTCTAGTCACTCATTATTTGTCTAGCTGTGTGTCTGCCTGTCCATATAGCCCATCTGTCCTTGCTCTCCTTCTTCAATTCTCGGCAGTGGCAGAGAGAAGTCTTTTGGGCTTGCCTAGTTGATAAAGACTAGGGCAGGGCAAATGGAAACAGTCTCTTTCATCTCTGTTTCTGTTATAGGAGATCTGTGAATTCCCACACCATTTGCAGTTTAAACCTGCAGTTTAAAAAACATGAAGGGTCTGATTTTTGAGTCTCTGCAATGTATTTAGATTTTCAACTGGCTCTTCAAAGTCAGAGACCTAGAAACTTCCTTTTGACCTATTCTTTTCTTTTTCTAAATGAGTGCTGAGATTCTTACAGATTTACTTGGCTGTAGAAACTGAGGCTTTAAAAGAAAAAAAATGAGATATTGCCGTATTTTATTTTTTTTAATGAAAGAACGGACAGCATGATGTACTAGGATGAGGGAGGAAGAAGAGGCAAGGATGGATGAGGTTGGTTTCGAGCCAAGAATTCTGGGATGGGGGCTAACCTGGACCTGTCTTAATTCTGCAGGCACCAGGCCAACCTCAGCCTTGATGCTGAGTTTCTCCTGCGTGACGTGCTGGAGCTGGACTTGGTGACAGGGGGTATTCCCTCCACCTTGCTGGTGCATGGTGTACTCTCCTTCCCCCTCTGCCTGGACAGCTCGCACCGCTGCCTCTTGGCTGCGGCACACTATGGCCGAGGCCGTGTTGTGGTGGCAACCCACGAGAGCCATCTGTTCTCCCCAAAGCTGGCCAGATTCCTGCTCAATGCTGTCTGCTGGCTGGATGCCGGGAGAAAGGGGCTGGTGGGTGTGGATCCCAGCCTGAAGAAACTGTGTAGCCTCCTCTCTCTGGAAGGGGTGAAGTCACAGGTGTCACAGCTGACAGGTGACCTCAGCGTGTACTGCTGCTCTTCTTACAGCGACAGAGAGGCGGAAAGGATTCACACTTTCGTGGCAGAAGGAGGTGGCCTATTGGTGGGAGGCCAGGCCTGGTACTGGGCTTCCCAGAACTGTGGCAAAGCTGCTGTGGCAGAATATCCTGGCAACAAAATCCTGAACCGTTTTGGGCTGAGTATCCTGGGACAGAGTGGCCAGGCGGCCAAGCACCGGCCCGTGGGGCCTGGGGAGCACTACCACTTCCGCAAGGCGCTCCTGCTCTTCAGCACCCAGGTGAACAAATGTGAGGAGCTCACGGAGCCCCTGAAGGACTGGCTGCACTGCCTAGCACGGGACTGTGCTGCCTTCCTGCGCATCCCAGCCCACGACTGCCCAGCATATGCCTCGCTGCACCGCATCCTGACCAAAGTGCTTCAGAGAAGTGGGATCCCACAGGTCAGCAGGCACTGCCCTGTCAAGAGAAACTCCAAAGAGGCAGTCCTGCTCTGCATGGCAACCGAGCTGTCCCTCACCATGACAGACAGTGCAGCCCTGGTGCAGAAATGTGCTGCTGGGGTCTGTACCCTCCCTGTCACTGTGGAAATTGATGGCACAAACCCAGGTGAGGAGTGTATCTCCCATCCTCTTGAAACATCCTGTTGCTGGGGTCAGTGTGGTACCTGGCCTCAGCATGCATCTGTCTGTGTATGTCTGAACATGTGCAATTTCACTGTGAGCTTGAGAGGAGGGTGACTTCTGTGTAGTGGCAGACGGGCTCCTTTTGTGGTCAGCCCTGATTTCAGCACTCTGAAACACCCTGTGAAAGTCTTTCTTCCTCACTGTTGGTGCACAGGCACCTGGAGAAGATGAATCCCCTAACAAGTGTTACCCCAGGGTACTTGCACAGCACAATGGCTTTGGCAATAAAGCTTCTTTAGGAAACCCTGTGCTCTACACTGCAGATTGCTGTTGTCATAGTCGTGCTGATACAGACATCTATGGAGACATCCTACAAAGAGATAGGAGTTAGAAACAAAAGGGGTTTTTGTTATCTAGATAATTTCAACTTGAGTTACAGCACAGTCTCACATCTTGCTGTATCAGCACAGTTAGAGGAGTGAAGATCTGTTTTTGGGGGTGAAAACGGGAGGCTGGAAGTATGTTGGGAACTTCTTGGGCTGACACGATCACTGAAGCCAAGGTATTTGGTAATTACACCATTAATGATTTGTCTAAGCTTAGGCCTTGTATCTGTACAAGTTTGCTGAGATTCCTGCTCATAACTGATATGTTTAAAGTCTAGGTTAAATTCCACTGGTAAAGTTTTATCCCCTGGACACATTAATTTTGAGATTTGATGGGGGTTTTTTTTGGTATTAGAATATGATTTAGAGGAGTTGTTTCCACACTGTTCTAATGAGATGAAGGAGACTCTTTCTGGAGTGGCAATGCCTGAGTGCAGAGGTTATGCAAAGAGAAAAGTTGTGGAATAACTGCTCACTGGTTTTAGTATTAATGAATCCGGACAAAAGGGGAAAATTGTTAGGGTTGGTTGAACTGAATGGATTGGCTCAAACACAGTATTTTGTTTTAATAGAAATATTCAGAATTTGTGTCATTTCACATAAATAAAAAAGAAAGAAATGCTAGCAAACCCTGAACACCATTCAAAACTGCCTTTGGTGCAAATTCAGCAAAACTGAAATGAACTGGTAAAACGTTGTGATATAGTCTAATCTGCATTTTTCTGTGGATTAGATTTTGCTTGACAAAACTGATCTTGCTTTCTTGGTTGACAGGAAAGGTTGTAAGTTGGGTGCTTTACGGCAGTTCAGCTCTTTTTAGGACTTTTGGTGTTTGTATTGAAACATGACTAAGTAAACTTTATGTCAGACCTTGGGAGTACAATCTACCCAATATGTATGGTAGAGATGGGTCAGTTTTGCACTATGTATTGCAAGTATTTAAAGAGATCTAGGATGAGGAGACTTGCTTTTCCAAGAGAAGACTGTCTAGAAATGTGCTGAGTTGTAGTGACATGATGGGATACCTAGCATAGAATGATCTCTTTAGACCTTCTCATAACTTCAGTCAGCTAGAAATGGGAATTCCTGTGGGCTCCAGCTTGTGCTGGAAAAATACAGTCAATAAGGAAAAATGCAATGCTCCTGTCAGTCTGTTATTTGGGAAATATTTTATGACCATTACAACTTCAACTGTGTTTAATACTAGCATAGTTAGCATCCCTTATGAGGGCTTTAGGGTAAAAGGATCTGAGTGGAGGAGGTGTTGGAATTTTGGTTTCTTTTTTTATTATTATGTATTATTTTTAAAAGATACTAGTAAATGCATTTAAGCTTGGCATTTCCAGAAGTTCAAATTTGTGTGGGCTTGCTTGCTAATGGTTTGATGTTCTTGTTCATGCTGCTACCCTATAGCTTTGAAACTGTATTTCTGACAGGTTGGGTAAAATGCGAGATGGTTCTCTGAGTGTAGAGCAAGGGATAAGAAAAGGATGGAAGATTATTCTCCTGCTGCAACTTGAAATCTCCAGAATCTGTAATGGTCAGGACAAAGAAGTGTTTGACTGTTCAGAACTGTGTTCTCTCTTACCTTTAGGTAAGACAGCCTGGAGGAGTACAGGACTCTACCTCCCTGAAGGGCACACAGCGGTTATAACATGCCCATGCCTAGTGGTTGGTGCTGGTCTGAAGGTAAGGTCTCTCTGTTTTGGCTTTAGTTTACACTTCTGTATTTGACAGGTGAGCATTCAAAAATTTTCTCCTTAACGGTTTTTGCTACCTTTTCAGTCCTTTCCTACTGCTGCCACCCTGTGGCACTTCAAATGCTTTGTTATCATTTTTTCACCTCGTGTTCTTACTCTCTTCTTTTGCATTCCTCCTGTTTTTGTGTGCTGGAGGGATAATTGAGTGTGGCTGCTGCTTGAGGGCAACTATGTTTGTTCTGTTATTGTGCAAAGAGGACTGGGCCCTTCTATGCAGCAAACTTGATTCCATCTCTTCAGATTTCTCATAAATTACTTTGACAGTGCTGTCATTACTGCTCATGTAGATGTATCCAGAGCAGAGATACACTGTTACTTGGGATCCCGTTCCCCCCAAAATATGACACAGGTAAATGCTTACCTGCTTGAACATTTTTTGCAGTGACCTTCCTGCAGCTGAAATGCAAAATTACTTCAGGTGATCTGTCTGATCCTGCAGTCACGTGCTGTTTGTTTTCCTGTAAGAGGTCCAGGGAAAAGGCACAATAAAATATGTAAGCCATGTGCACATCTCCTATGCTACAGGGCGTGACTTTGATGCTGGTAAAGGATAGAGGAATGATCAATGCAAGTATAGTGTAGTGAAAGAAGTCACTGCAGTACCCTGACCAACTGGTGAAGGATGTAGTTGAGCCAGTAATAATGGGAGAATAGCTGTAAGACTGTCTGAGACAGGGATAGCACTGAACTTCATCAGCTTTTTTCATCGTATTTACTGATCCTGGCCACCACAGGCTGAAAAGTTGAACTAGGCTGGAGCCGGAAGGCTGCTTCTGCGTGTGTGCTCTGCAGGGACAGTACTGTAGCAGAGAGCTCAGGATGTTGAGGTCAGTCTGCCAGATTGCACTCGGACACCTTTTCCTATGCTGTTCCTATGCTTCTGTTTGGCAGGTGCAGATTGGGTGTCACACAGATGACCTCTCTCATGCCAAAGAGCTGAAACGGGCACCAGTGGTAATACGCAGCTGTGATGTTGCCTGCCAGAAGCAGTCCATTTCTTGCCTCTGGGGTGGCCTGATCTACATCATAGTACCAGCAAAGAGTGTCCTGGGGAAGGTGCCCATCACAGTGGAAGGGGCAGTCAGAGCTCCTTTCTTCAAGCTTGGTATGTTTGTTTACCTTAGTGCTTTTGTCCTTAGGGCTGCTCACAGATGCTGCTGTCCCTGTGACTGAAAGTAAAGATGGTCCTGTGCTTAGGAAGGTCTTAAAAAATGCTTGGGTTTAGGAATAGCCAGCTTTAGTTTCCTTACTGTAGTGTCCTCTGGGATTCCCATTTTTCTACCCATTTTTATAAACAGTAGAAAGGTGGCCCCCAGGACTGTCAACCTCACTTCTGTGCCTGGAAAGATCATGGAACAGATCCTCTGAGATGCTACGCTAAGGCACATGGAGGACAGGGAGGTGATTTGGGACAGCCAGCATGGCTTCAGCAAGAGCAAGTCCTGCCTGACCAACCTAGCCGCCTTCTATGATGGAGTCATCAGTGGACAAGGGAAGGGCTATGGATATTGTCTATCTTAACTTCTGTAAGATCTTTGACATGGTCCCCCAAAAAATCCTTCTCTCAAAATTGAAAAGACATGGACCTGTTGGAGTGGGTCTAGAGGAGGGCCATGGAGATTACTGGGTGGCTGGAGCACCTCTCCTGTGAGGAAAGGCTGAGAGAGTTTGGATGTTTAGACTGGAGAAGAGAAGGCTCCTGGGAGACCTTATCGTGGCCTTTAAAGGGGGCCTTTAAGAAGTATGGGGACATACTTCTTAGCAAGGTCTGTTGTGATAGGACAAGGGGTAATAGTTTTAAACTAAAAGAGGGAGACTGACCTCTGCCATGACAAAGCATACCTTGTTCTCTGCCTGCTTTACTGTACCCCCATGTGGCCATCTCTAGTGCCTACAATAAATCTCTGATGAATTTCCCGTGTTTCCAGTTTCTCTTCTCTTCCTGGATGCAATTTCGTCTTGCTCTTCTGTCAAACTAAACAGAACCAGGGTTGTTGTGTGAAACAGAAAATCTCTGCTAGAGAAGAAGAAATCAGACACTGGAGAAACTTGATGCTTCTTGTTCTCTGATGGAAAACAGGGATGTGTTCTTGCTATGCTACTCTGTTATATGTCAGTCCTTTTCTGTCTGTTTCCTACCCATTAAAGAGCCTGGGGAGACTTCCTAAGCACAGAATAAGGATTGGCTATTTAACAGCCACCACCCACAGTCTTGGAACTGTTTTCCATGAAAATTTTATGACCACAGTCTACTTCTCCAAGCCTGACCTCTGTAAGTGTGCTCAAAAGTCAGAGCTGCTCTAAAACCTATTTCCTTTGTTGTTGATGTAGGGGAGACCTGTGAAAGCCTGTGGAAGGCCTGTATCCGACACTACCCTGCTCCCTGGGCAGAACTGGCTGTTGAGAATCTTATCCTGACGGTGCCCTCCGACAGCATCCGCCACATGGAGAACCCACGGCCACTGCTGACCCTATGGAATGAGATCATGGTGGCAATAAGCAAATTGGCAGCCATACCAACAAAATTCCCAAGGCCAGAGAGGATTGTAACAGATGTCCAGATCTCATATGGTAGGTACATTGCCATATGGCCTTCTCAAGGGCTAAGAGACAAGTGGCCTCCAACAGCAGTGTCTGTTCCTTCAAGGTTATTTTGCTAAAACCAGACAGGGAACATATGTGAGGTGTTAAATGACTGTGACCCTTGCATAATTGCGAGATACTCCATCAGGGTGGAAATGTGGTAAAGCAGGGCTTGAAAAACATATTGACCTTTTCAGATGACTCCCTGCTCTCAAAACTACTGTTGTCTCCTCAGCTGTTCTTTTGTCTGGGTGTGTTAAGATGCAGAGCTGCTGACTGCAGTGGCATTAGCTTACGTGTAGTTACTCATTCTCCCTCCTGAATGCCAGTACAGCTGGGAGACAGTGACCCGATTTCTATTTTTTCTCTGCCTCAGCCACAGGATTGGTTTTATGTGTTCAGTGACAATTTTTAAACCTCCAAGTGCCTACTTGCTGGAGATGGGCTCCACAAAGGTTACTGTGGGCAAAGCTTAGCCCAAAAATATGTGCCTGAGAGAATGGCAATGGAGAAGTAGAACCTGTATTGCTGTCAAAGCCCATGAGTGTGTGTTTTTGCAGCTGATGCTTCCCACTCCAGCTTTTCCGGTTGAGAACTGAGTGCCTTTGATCTAGAGTCAAATTATATGGTAAATGAACTTTGCAATAAAAATTTTGTTCAGTTGTTTTTCAAAATATACTGGTTCAATTCATCATCCCACAAAGAGACAAGGGCTTGGCATGAACCCTGATGTCCTAACTCTTTACTAAGCCGCATGGAAAGAATTTGTGACACATCTTGGGAGCACTAAGTTCTGCTATCCTGAGCAAATGTCAGTTAAAAAGATCACAGTCTACAAACATAAAATTCCTTTCTGGTTTGGGTGGACTAAATGGTTTCACTCATGTTACTGGACCTGAACAGTGATTGCTAAATGCGTACATCCCTACTGTTAAAAGAAGAGGAGGCACAAGATCTGAGTTCCTGTGGGAAGGGGATTGCAATTCATGTTCTCCAACTTGGGCAGTCTGCAAGCTTTGTGTTCAAAGTCAGCTGTGTAGGCTCCCTATGCAGTGAGTGTAAAGGGTTGCTTATTCCCTGTTACAATAGACATTTGAATTTGGGGGCATGAGTCTTGTATAGAGTTTTGGGCTTCTTCAAGAAGGACCAATTAGGGATGAAGACACAAAGGAGTCATAAGTAAACTCCCTTGTAATGCAAGATTCTTGTCCATCATCATGGTGGGAAGTTGTTTACAGAATAGCTATCCTACAAGGCTAAGAACAGGCTTAAGTATGACAAGCTTTGCAGGAAAACTCTGTTTTCCACGCGTCTAATCCACACCACTGACTACTGGAGTGCAGACCTGCAGTATCCACACTCTGCACAGGAAGACTCAAGGTCTGCCATGGTGCTGAATCATGTGGTTGTGTCGGTGTCAGCTGTGCTCAATTTGTGAGTATTCTGGGCAATGGGCAGGCCTTTCCCCTCATCCTAAAATCTCAGTCTCAGTTCAACCATGAGTGTATGCTTATGTATAAAAAGGAAAAGAAGGTGAAACTGTGCTTAACTGATATTTCAGTCCTACCTTTACACTGCTTATTTGCCTATTTGCTAGGGCAAAACATGATGCATTTCCTTACCTCACAAGGGGGAAAATTGGTCATTCATAGTAGTACAGTGTGGTTTGTGAGATAAGGGCAACGCGCTCAGAAATGGAAAAAAAAGATTAGTCACTTACGTCTGAGAGGCAGTGAGGTGAGCACTTAGTGACGTGTGTTGGTACCTGTCCTTCCTGCAGGCTGGATGCATGCTGGCTACCCCATCATGGGCCACCTAGATTCGGTGAAGGAGATGTTAGATATGAAGCATATGCAAACTACTGGTCTTTGGGGTCCTATCCATGAACTGGGACACAATCAACAGCAGCAAGCATGGGAATTTCCCCCTCATACCACAGAGGCCACATGCAACCTCTGGTCTGTCTATGTTCATGAGAAGGTGCTAGGGATTCCCAGGCATCAGGCCCATGAGGCCCTAAAATCACAGTGTCGGAAGGAAAGGATAAAAGAGTATCTGAGGAAAGGCGCTCAATTAAAGGACTGGAACGTGTGGACTGCTCTGGAGACATACCTGCAGGTAACTGGGAAAAATGCGTGCATTCTTAGTGCAGTCAGTGAAGCCTGTGTCAGAGGGATGTCTGCAGCTTGATGACTGTAGCTGTCAAGCCTTGTAAACATTTACTTACTATCTGGGTTCATCTTGGACTCAGAAAGCACATGTGAGGTATATAGACAGAGTGTTTAATGCTGATGTCTCCTGAAAACCTTCTTTTGCCAGACTTGGGCTTAGCCACTCTTGGAGGTAGCTTACTGCAATATACTAATCTTTCTCCCTAGGAGAGAAACAGGAACTCCTGCTTGTTATACAGCATGGGAAAAGGATGATCAGACTTGGGCACAGTTCTTTAATCTACTGCAGATTTCCTGTGGGACACTGGGCTAGTTGGTAAAAGAACCTTGCTATTGTAAAATGTCTAGAAGAGCCAGGCTTCGAGCAGTATTATGGCCAAGCTCCTTTTTACAAAACATGCAAAGAGCAAGGTGTTTTATCAGTCAATGCACTGAGTGGAGCCAGTGTAGTCCATCAAGTGGGAAGGGGATGGGTTCAGCTCTAAAGAGAGATAAAACATGAGATTTTAAAACATGAACCCTGTCCTGGATTAAAGTGCATTCCCTTGGGAAGCATGCAAGAGAGATTTTCCTCTTCCCTTAATCCTCTTAGCAACCAGTAGTCTAATGGAGACAGCACTCAATCTGATTCTAACTGGGGAATGTAAAGGAAATGTCCATTATAATGTCTTAACCTACTGACTGTTGTGAAGTGTGTTTCCTTCAGCCCCCTTGTCTGGAAGCTCTCACATCTTACATGAGCAACAAAATATTTAAGTATCAATCCTGATTTTTCCACATCCCAGAGAAGCACCCGAATCATCAAGCTGAAAAGTAAACCTTTGGGGTTTTTTGTGCAACGAATATAAAAATAGTTGTACAGAGTGAAACAGTTTTAAAAAGGGAAATTTTCCCACAATACCTTACCAGTTTGGCCAGTGTCCCCCTGCCTCACTCACACTTATAGGCTGGCGTTAAATATATATATATTTATATATATAAAGTAACCACCTCCTGTCTAACACAGGAGGTTACTAACACAACTGCTAGAATAAATGTGACGTGAAAGAACAACTACAATTCTACAACAGCAGCTTTTCTGTATGAATCCCTTTTGTTCTTATTCCTAGCCAAAACACATCCTGCTTACAATCTTTCCTTCCTATTTTCTCAATATTCCTTGTTCTCCTTGTTCTTCTGTGCTCCTTCTTTCTAGATATTCTGTCAGTGTCCTCTGATGCTTTTTCACTGCACAGGAAGCTTTCCTCTCTCCAAAGCAGCAGCAGTTGCTGACATTTCTGCATCTTTCATCTCTGTTTATTTTGGGAGGCCAGTGTAATAGGAAGGTATTTTTTTGTACTCTAGTTATGCTCTGAAGCCTGAAAGTTGGATGCTTTCATCTAGGTTTACCTTCATTCTAAAAGACACTGCAGAAAACTATGAAATCTTCTATTGTTTGTAACACAGGAATAATGCCACTGAAATGATAACTTAATTGTTTTTACAGTATGTTCTTCTCCATCAGTTGCAGGAAGGGTTTGGTTGGGACCCCTTCACCCACCTCTTCTCTGACTACCAGAAAATGTCCACCATCCCAAAAGACAACCCTTCTAAGATGAATTTATGGGCACGGAAGTTTTCTCAGCAGGTGAATAAAAATTTGGCTCCATTCTTTACAGCCTGGGGATGGCCTATCAAGAAAGAGCTGATTCTGGAACTGTCCTCTCTACCCAGCTGGGAACAGGATCCAATGAGATCCTATAAACTATAAAGGAAAACTATCTAAATCTTGATTCTCATACTAGCTATGGCCTATCTTTTTCTCCTTGTGTGCTGCATGATAGCTCACTATGTGCTTAGATTTACACTGGATTCTTCAGCTTCTTGCTGACAATGGAGGCCAACCCCAACAGAAATTCAACAGGAACTTGTCTGCAGATCAGCAATCTAAGCTATCTTCTGAAAGATTAAATAACCAATGAGCTTTGTTCTGGGTTCTTCACCTCAGGAGGAATGTAATTCTGAGTTGATTTAGTTCCTACAGAACCTTTCTCTGATGAAATGGAAGCTTTCAGGGTGAAGCAGTCACTGGAACAGTCTCAAGGACAGTATCAACGGAATATAGATCTGTAAGGCAAATAGTAGCCTCCACAATGTTCTACTCTTCAGTTATAACCTCAGTGACATGAGATTTTCACTATTGTTTTTCTTACCCTAAAATCCCTAATTTTTAACTCCTCTAATTATGCAGAACTTCCACACCTACTATTATGAAAGTGACCTTGTAATGTTTATATACAGGTTATATAATACATAGCTGATACTGAAAATGCTGTAGATTTCTTCCTACATTCTATGACTCTGTGACCCAACATCCAGCTTCATGTGTGTAAGTCAATTATAAGTTGTAGTTGTCACTCTTAACCATGGCCTGACAATAAGATACATGCCAATGTAGATGGGAGAGTGGAAGCAAAGAGGTGACTTGATTGTAATCAGTAATGGTTTAACTCGTGCTCATCAAAAGTTGAAACACAGGCACTGACCTGACAGCCTGAGAGAGCAGAGAGAAGGAAGACAACAGTTCATCAAGACAGTAAAAAAAGACCAGAATAGAAATTACCCAAATACTTGTTACAACAGCTTTTCATTTTTGTGTTGGCTCAGATGTAGTTCTGATTTCCCAATGATTTATCGTCTTTCAAACTTTTTTCCATTCTTATTGACAATTAGTATGAGTTTATCTTCCAATAAAATAAATGCAGAGGCCATACATAGTTTAAACAGTGTTTCAGTACTGGTTCGGAGGTTCGGAAGACTTACATGGTATAAAGATTTAGACCTGACCCTACCTATAGAAGCATATTTCATCCCTAATGAGTTTATGAATAAAAGTTTCGCTTGTGTCCACTTAAAAAATATACAAAATGTATCAAAGTGCTATCGGATCTGTTATCAGATTGGTATATAAACTGGGGGGAGTTGGCCAAGTGCCACTGATCACAGCACAGGGACAGGCTGGGCATCAGTCAGTGGGTAGTGAGTGACTGGACTCTGCATCACTCGGGTTTCCTGGGGTTTATTCCTCTCTGTGTCTCTTTCTCTACCTTTCATTGCAACTATTGTTGTTATTATTATCATTAGCATTATTGTTATATTTTACTTTCCTTCAGTTATTAAACTGTTCTTAACCCATGACTTTTACCTTTCTTTTATTCTACGCCATTCCACCTCATCCCCTGCTCAGAGGCAAGGCAGTGAGCAAGTGGCTACGTGGTACTTAGTTTCCAGCTGGTGTTAAACCATGACACGCATGAAACATTGAGTAATTTCTGTGACATTGTATTTCAAGCAGCGGTTATGGAACAATTCAGCATGCATGGGAAAATCCTAGGACACACCTGGGACCGACCTGAGCAGGAGCTGAAGTGGAAAAAAAGTAAAATAGATTAGGATGCCACATTGACCTTAGCAAAAATAAAACCAGAAGCAGAGGATTTTCGTGCTGTGATAAGCTAAGAATGGGTGGGTTCAGTGGTGAGGTTTTCAGATTACGTGTAGACTTACTGGCTTCATTTTTACAGTCAGTTTGCTTTTAATGGAAAGTTGTCTGCTGTTTCTATTTACTCCTTTCTGCCAGTAGGGAGCCCAACAAAGATTTGATGAAGGCTTTCCTATTATTATCAGGCTAAGGGGGATTTCACTAATAGCTGAAGCATCGGATTTGCCAAGGCACTCGGAGAAACACACTGAGGCACAATACCTCTTCAAGGATAAATGTGAAATAAAATAGCAATGACTGTCAATTTTATTAACTACTTTTGTATAACTCTTGCTAGCAGCAAATTATTTTCAAACATGGCTTTTTCTTCTGTTGATAGTAAAGAACTCAGTGGTACTGAAGGAGCTGCTGATTTAATAACAGGTTCTGCTCATTGTGTTTCTCAAAATTTAGTTAGACTACTAGAGAAATTTGTGCTAATTGTATTGGTTATTTTGATTCTCCAGCAACAACCTTAGGAAGTAATCCACAAACCAAGCATAGATGAAGTGGGACTCATCTGCCCTGGTTTGGCCTCCAAATATTAGCCGTCTCAATCTGAGCTGCTCACTCAAGACTCCCTTTAGGGCAACTCACCCCCTAAGAGAGCGCAGAGGATTTGCCTACTTCTAAGGTAGGTTAGATGAACCATCACCTCAGCATGAAAGAAAGTAAACTCTGCACTGTGACAGTGACATATATGATTTTTTGACCACTTTGCTCGGGAGTTCAGTGCTATATGCA